CTGGGATCCCATCCCAAACTTTTCCCAAGCCTTGGAAAAGCTCCGGAACTTCCACAGCCCCGGGAGAATTTTTCCTCCTTCCCATGAATTTTTCCTTTCCATGGAAATCTTTGGAGCTGCTGCGGATCCCGGTGGGAATGGGAAGCCGCGGGATCCTCGGGAGAAATCCAGGCTGTTCCCGGATCCCAAAAAAACAATAGGATTTCTTTGGGATCTCCTTGGGAGCCTCAATCCTCCAAATCCTATCCCTCAAATTCCACCCCCAAATCCTGTTCCCCAAATCCTGTCCCACAAATCCTGACCCCAAATCTTGTCCCACAAATCCTGACCCCAAATCTTGTCCCACAAATCCTGACCCCAAATCCTGTCCCACAAATCCTGACCCCAAATCCTGTCCCACAAATCCTGACCCCAAATCCTGTCCTTATCCCTGTTCCCCCCAATCCTGTCCCTCAAATTCCACCCCCAATTCCCAATCCCAAATTCCTGCACCTCCAAAATCCTGTCCCACAAATCCTGACCCCAAATCTTGTCCCACAAATCCTGACCCCATCCCTGTTCCCCCCAATCCTGTCCCTCAAATTCCACCCCCAAATCCTGACCCCAAATCCTGACCCACAAATCCTGACCCTCAAATTCCACCCCCAAATCTTGACCCCAAATCCTGTCCCACAAATCCTGACCCCAAATCTTGTCCCACAAATCCTGACCCCAAATCCCGTCCTTATCCCTGTTTCCCCCAATCCTGTCCCTCAAATTCCACCCCCAAATCTTGTCCCCAAATCCTGTCCCACAAATCCTGACCCCAAATCCTGTCCCACAAATCCCGACCCCAAATCCTGACCCCAAATCCTGTTCCTCCACATCCTGTCCCTCAAATTCCACCCCCAAATCTTGTCCCACAAATCTTGTCCCCAAATCCTGTCCCATAAATCCTGACCCCAAATCCTGTTCCCCCAAATCCTGTCCCCAAATCCTGTCCCACAAATCCTGACCCCAAATCCTGACCCCAAATCCTGTCCCTACCCTGTTCCCCCAAATCCTGTCCCTCAAATTCCACCCCCAATTCCCAATCCCCAATTCCTGCACCTCCAAAATCCTGTCCCCAAATCCTGACCCCAATTCCTGCATTCCCGCAATCCTGCTCCCCCAAATTTTGACCCACAAATCCTGACCCCAAATCTTGTCCCCAAATCTTGTCCCACAAATCCTGACCCCAAATCCTGTCCCACAAATCTTGTCCCCAAATCCTGTCCCACAAATCCTGACCCCAAATCCTGACCCCAAATCCTGACCCCAAATCCTGTCCCTATCCCTGTTCCTCCAAATCCTGTCCCTCAAATTCCACCCCCAAATCCTGTTCCCAAATCCTGACCCCAAATCCTGTCCCACAAATCCTGACCCCAAATCTTGTCCCACAAATCCTGTCCCACAAATCCTGCCCCCAAATCCTGACCCCATCCCTGTTCCTCCAAATCCTGTCCCTCAAATTCCACCCCAAATTCCCAATCCCAAATTCCTGCACCCCCAAATCCTGTCCCACAAATCCTGACCCCAAATCCTGTTCCTCCAAATCCTGTCCCCAAATCCTGTCCCACAAATCCTGACCCCAAATCTTGTCCCCCAAATCCTGACCCCAAATCCTGTCCTTATCCCTGTTCCCCCCAATCCTATCCCTCAAATTCCACCCCCAAATCTTGTCCCCAAATCCTGTCCCTCAAATTCCACCCCCAAATCTTGTCCCCAAATCCTGTCCCACAAATCCTGACCCCAAATCTTGTCCCCAAATCCTGACCCCAAATCCTGTCTCACAAATCCTGACCCCAAATCTTGTCCCCAAATCCTGACCCCAAATCCTGTTCCCCCGAATCCTGTCCCATAAATCCTGACCCCAAATCCTGACCCTATCCCTGTTCCCCCAAATCCTGTCCCTCAAATTCCACCCCCAATTCCCAATCCCCAATTCCTGCACCCGCAAATCCTGTCCCACAAATCCTGACCCCAAATCCTGTCCCACAAATCCTGACCCCAAATCTTGTCCCACAAATCCTGTCCCCAAATCCTGTCCCACAAATCCTGACCCCAAATCCTGTTCCTCCAAATCCTGTCCCACAAATCCTGTCCCACAAATCCTGACCCCAAATCCTGTCCCACAAATCCTGACCCCAAATCTTGTCCCACAAATCCTGACCCCAAATCTTGTCCCCAAATCCTGTCCCACAAATCCTGACCCCAAATCCTGTCCCTCAAATTCCACCCGCAATTCCCAATCCCAAATTCCTGCACCCGCAAATCCTGTCCCACAAATCCTGACCCCAAATCCCGTTCCTCCAAATCCTGTCCCTCAAATTCCACCCCCAAATCTTGTTCCCAAATCCTGTCCCCAAATCCTGTCCCACAAATCCTGACCCCAAATCCTGTCCTTATCCCTGTTCCCCCAATCCTATCCCTCAAATTCCACCCCCAAATCCTATCCCCAAATCCTGTCCCCAAATCCTGTCCCACAAATCCTGACCCCAAATCCTGTCCCCCAAATCCCTCTCCCCAAATCCTGCTCCCTAAATCCCTCATCCCCCATCCCCAAATCCTGATCCCCAAAATCCCTCTCCCCAAAATCCTTCATCCCAAATCCCTCTTCCCGAAATCCTTCATCCCTTTCCCCTGATTCTTCTCCCCTAAATTCTTCTCCCCAAATCCTGATCCCAAATCCCTCTCCCCCAAATCCTTCACCCCTTTCTCTCAATTTTTCTCCCCAAATTCTGATCCCAAATCCTGATCCCCAAAATCCCTTTCCCCAAATCCCAATCCCCCAAATCCTGCTCCCCAAATACCTCATCCCCAATCCCTCTCCCCCAAATCCAAATCCCCATTCTCCTCCCCAAATCCCAATCCCCCAAATCCCTCATCCCCAAACCCTCTCCCCATTTCCTGCTCCTCAAATCCTGACTCCCCCAATCCCTCTCCCCCAAATCCCAATCCCCATTCTCCTCCCCAAAATCCCAATCCCCCAAATCCCAATCTCCATTCTCCTCCCCCAAATCCCTCTCCCCCAAATCCCAATCCCCATTCTCCTCCCCAAAATCCCAATGCCCCAATCCCTCTCCCCCAAATCCCAATCCCCATTCTCCTCCCCCAAATCCCTCTCCCCCAAATCCCGATCCCCAAATCCCTCTCCCCCAAATCGCTCTCCCTATTTCCCTCTCCCCCAAATCCCAATCCCCCAATCCCTCTCCCCCAAATCCCAATCCCCCATTCTCCTCCCCCAAATCCCAATCCCCCAAATCCCAATCCTCCAAATCCCTCTCTTCCAAATCCTGATCCCCATTCTCCTTCCCCAAATCCCAATCCCCAAATCCCTCTCCCCCAAATCCCTCTCCCCCAAATCCCAATCCCCCAAATCCCTCTCCCCCAAATCCCAATCCCCCAAATCCCTCTCCCCCAAATCCCAATCCCCCAATCCCTCTCCCCCAAATCCCCATTCTCCTCCCCCAAATCCCAATCCCCAAATCCCAATCCCCCAATCCCTCTCCCCCAAATCCCAATCCCCCATTCTCCTCCCCCAAATCCCCATCCCCAAATCCCTCTCCCCCAAATCCCTCTCCCCCCAATCCCTCTCCCCCAAATCCCTCTCCCCCAAATCCCAATCCCCAAATCCCTCTCCCCCAAATCCCAATCCCCCAAATCCCTCTCCCCAAATCCCTCTCCCCATTTCCTGCTCCTCAAATCCTGACCCCCCCAATCCCTCTCCCCCAAATCTCCCAATCCCTCTCCCCAATTCCCTCATCCCAAATCCCTCTCCCCCAAATCCCAATCCCCATTCTCCTCCCCCAAATCCCAATCCCCAAATCCCTCTCCCCCAAATCCCTCTCCCCCAAATCCCAATTCTCCTCCCCCAAATCCCAATCCCCAAATCCCTCTCCCCCAAATCCCTCTCCCCCAAACCCCGCTCCCCAATCCCGCTCCCGGTACCCCGGAACGCCGCTTTGGCGATGCGGTCGCCTTTGCCGCGGAGGCCGGAGACGGAGCGGAGCTGCAGCACCAGAGCCATGGGGGCACCGGGCCGGGCCCGTGCGGCTCCCGGGGCTCGGGCGGGCTCGGAGCGGAGCCCGGGGCGGTCCCGGTGCTCGGTGCGGAGCTGGGTCTGGTCCCGGTGCGGTCCCGGTGCGGTCCCGGTGCTCGGTGCGGAGCTGGGTCTGGTCCCGGTGCGGGCTCGGTGTGGTCCCGGTGCTCGGTGCGGAGCCCGAGGTGGTCCCGGGGTGGCCCCGGTGCCTGATGCGGTCCCGGTGCGGGCTCGGTGCGGAGCCTGAGGTGGTCCCGCTGCGGTCCCGGTGCTCGGTGCGGTGCTGGGTCTGGTCCCGGGGTGGTCCCGGTGCCTGATGCGGTCCCGGTGCGGGCTCGGAGCGGAGCTTGAGGTGGTCCCGGTGCGGTCCCGGTGCGGTGCTCGGTCTGGTCCCGGTGCGGGCTCGGAGCGGAGCCCGGGGCGGTTCGGGCCGCTCGGGGTGGCGCCGGTGCCTGATGCGGTCCCGGTGCGGTGCTCGGTGCTCGGTGCTCGGTGCTCGGTGCGGAGCTGGATCTGGTCCCGGTGCGGGCTCGGTGCAGAGCCCGAGGTGGTCTCGGTTCCTGATGCGGTCCCGGAGCGAGCCCGGTGCGGGCCCGGTACCTGATGAGGTCCCGGTGCGGTCTCGGTGCGGAGCCTGAGGTGGTCCCGGGGTGGTCCCGGTGCAGAGCCCGAGGTGGTCCCGGGGTGGTTCCGGTGCCTGACGCGGTCCCGGAGCGGGCTCGGAGCGGAGCCTGAGGCGGTCCCGGGGTGGTCCCGGTGCCTGATGCGGTCCCGGTGCCTGATGCGGTCCCGGTGCGCAGCCCGAGGTGGTCCCGGGGTGGTCCCGGTGCCTGATGCGGTCGCGGAGCGAGCCCGGTACGGTCCCGGTGCGCAGCCCGAGGTGGTCCCGGTGCGGTCCCGGAGCCTGTTGCGATCCCGGGGCGGTCTCGGTGCTGAGCCCGGTGAGGTGCCCGGAGCCTGACGCGGTCCCGGCGCGGTGCTGATCCGGTCCCGGTGCCGGTGCCGGTGCCGGTTCCGCGCTCCGGAGCTCGGTGCTGTCTCGGTGCCGGCGCCGGTGCCGCGCTCCGAGGCTCGTTGCGGTCTCGGTGCCGGTCCCGGTGCCGGTTCCGCGCTCCGGGGCTCGGTGCGGTCTCGGTGCCGGTGCCGCGCTCCGGGGCTCGGTGCGGTCTCGGTGCGGTCTCGGTCTCGGTGCCGGTGCCGCGCTCCGGGGCTCGCTGCGGTCTCGGTGCGGTCTCGGTCCCGGTCCCGGTCCCGGTGCTGCGCTCCGGAGCTCGGTGCGGTCTCGGTGCGGTCTCGGTGCGGTCTCGGTGCCGGTGCGGAGCTTCCCCCGCTCCCAGCGCTGAATTATTCAGCAGCGGGGCCGCCCCTTCCTCCCTCCCACCTTCCTCCCTTCCTCCCACCCCTCCTCTTCCTCCTCCTCCTCCTCCCACCCCTCCTCCTCCTCCTTCTTCCCTCCCCCTTCCCTCCCCTCCCCCTCCCCTCCCCCTCCACTCCCCCTCCCCCTTCCCTCCCCTCCCCCTCTCCTTTCCTCTCCTTTCCTTTCCTTTCCTTTCCTTTCCTTTCCTTTCCTTTCCTTTCCTTTCCTTTCCTTTCCTTTCCTTTCCTTTCCTTTCCTTTCCTTTCCTTTCCTTTCCTTTCCTTTCCTTCCTTTCCTTTCCTTTCCTTTCCTTTCCTTTCCTTTCCTTTCCTTTCCTTTCCTTTCCTTTCCTTTCCTTTCCTTTCCTTTCCTTTCCTTTCCTTTCCTTTCCTTTCCTTTCCTTTCCTTTCCTTTCCTTTCCTTTCCTTTCCTTTCCTTTCCTTTCCTTTCCTTTCCTTTCCTTTCCTTTCCTTTCCTTTCCTTTCCTTTCCTTTCCTTTCCTTTCCTTTCCTTTCCTTTCCTTTCCTTTCCTTTCCTTTCCTTTCCTTTCCTTTCCTTTCCTTTCCTTTCCTTTCCTTTCCTTTCCTTTCCTTTCCTTTCCTTTCCTTTCCTTTCCTTTCCTTTCCTTTCCTTTCCTTTCCTTTCCTTTCCTTTCCTTTCCTTTCCTTTCCTTTCCTTTCCTTTCCTTTCCTTTCCTTTCCTTTCCTTTCCTATTTCCCGTTTCCTCTTCCCTTTCCCCCTTTTTTCCCCTTTTTTCCCTTTTCCCTTCCCCCCCTTTGCCCTTTTCGCCCTTTTTTCTCCTTTTCCCCCTTTTCTCCCTTCCCCCATTTTTTCTCCTTTTTCCTTTTTTCCCTTTTCCCTTTCCCCCCCTTTTCCCTTTTCCCCCTTTTCCCTTTCCCCTTTCCCCTTTTCCCCCTTTTTCCTTTATTCCCTTTTCCTCTTTTTTCCCTTTTCCCTTCCTCCCTTTTTTCCATTTTCTCCTTTTTTCCCCCCTTTTCCCTTTTTCTCTTTTTCCCCTTTTCCCCCTTTTCCCCCTTTTCTCCCTTTTCTCCCCTTCCCCCATTTTTTCTCCTTTTTCCTTTATTCCCTTTCCATCTTTTTTTCCCTTTTCCTTTTCCCCCCTTTTTCCCATTTTCTCCTTTTTTCCCCCTTTTCCCTTCCCCCTTTTTTTCCATTTTCCCCTCCCCCCCTTTCCCCTTTTTCTCCCTTTCTTCCCCTTTTCCCCCTTTTCTCCCTTACCCCCATTTTTTCTCCTTTTCCCTTTTTTCCCTTTTCCCTTTTTCCCCTTTTTCATTTTCCCTTCCCCCTTTTTTTCCATTTTCCCCTTCCCCCCCTTTCCCCTTTTTCTCCCTTTTCCCCCTTTTCCCCCTTTTCTCCCTTTCCCCCATTTTTTCTCCTTTTTCCTTTATTCCATTTTCCTCTTTTTTCCCTTTTCCTTTTCCCCCCTTTTCCCTTTCCCCCCTTTTTTCCATTTTCTCCTTTTTCCCCCTTTTCCCTTCCCCTTTTTTTCCATTTTCCCCTCCCCCTTTTCCCTTTTTCTCCTTTTTTCCCCTTTCCCCCCGTTTCTCAATTTCCCCCCTTTTTTCTCTTTTTTCCTTTATTCCCTTTTCCTCTTTTCTCCCCTTTCCCCCCTTTTTTTCTTTTTTCTCCTTTTTCCCTTTTCCCCTTTTCCCTTTCCCCTTTCCCCTTTTACCCCTTTTTCCTTTATTCCCTTTTCCTCTTTTTTCCCTTTTCCCTTTTTTCCTTTTCCCTTTCCTCCCTTTTTTCCATTTTCCCCCTTTTCCCCCCTTTTCCATTTTTCTCCCTTTTTTCCCTTTCCCCCCTTTTCCCCTTTTTTCCTTTTCCCCTTTTTCCCTTTTCCCCTTTTCCCTTTTCCCTTTCCCCCTTTTCCCCTTTCCCGCTTTTCCCTTTTTTCCCCTTTTTCCTTCCCAGCTGCAGGAATTCGGGAATGGGGAAACTGAGGCAGACCCCCACGGGATCCGCAGCCTCCACCATTCCCCAAAAATCCCAGGAATATCCCAGAGACGCTGAGGAATTAAAGGAAAGGAAAGAAAAGGAGGAAAAAAGAATGGAAATATGGAAACCAAAGCAACAAAACCGAGAAAAACCCGAAAAGTAAAATTAAAATTTAAAAAAAATTGGAAAAACGGGAGGAAAATAAAGGAAAACCCAGGATGGATCCGGGAATTCTTCGGGATCTTTAATGGGAAGGGCGGAATCTCAGGGCTGCCCCCAGACCAGGATCCGATCCCGAAATTCCTTTCCGCCTTCAGGGAAATGGAATGGGCGATCCCAAATCCAAAAAATCCCAAATTTTGGGCTCCGGACCCACTCCCGTTTCAAATCTGCGATTCCAGGGCAGGAATTTTCCTGCTTTTCCATGGATTTTTCCCATTCCCGGGATGGCTCCGCAGCTGCTCCCGATCCAATCCTTTAGAGGGCACCAGAAACTCGTGAATTGCATCCCCGGGAGCTGCCGAGGGAGGAATTCCTGCCCCAAATCCCAAATTCCAGGATTCCCTCTCCGGGTGGGATTTGCGCCTCCCGATCCCAAATTCCCGGCCGGGAAAAGGGCGAGGTTGGAATTTCGGGATGGAGCGAGAATTGGGAAGGGAAATCACGGAAAGGAAGTGTTTTAAATGGAAAAGTTTGGGATTTTGGGAAGGAATTCCCAACTGGGAGGGTGGGGAGGGGCTGGGCTGGAATTCCCAGATAATCCCTGGGATTTTCCATGGATGCGGGTGGTGGGAGGGGTCCCAGCCCGATGGAATGGGGGTGGAACTGGAATATCCTGGAATCCTCTTCCCACAAAATCCATCCCAAAATTCCAAATGTTCCTTGGGATTATCCGACAAGGAATGTCCCCCCTGTTCCTGTCCCCTGGATCCTCCCGCTCCTGGGAGTCCCGTTATCCATGAAATCATGGAATTCTGGAGCCTGGAAAAGCCCTGGGATCCCACGGATCCGACCATTCCCAGCCCTGACCTCCGTCCCCCACAAATCCAAGGAATTCAAATCCCTCCTGGAATGGGAATTCCACCCTGCCCCGGGCAGGAGAAGGGCTGGAAAATTTTCCAGGTGGGAATTATTCCCAAAATCCAACCAAATCTCCCTTGGCGCAACACCCGGGTCCGAATTCCAGCTGGAAATTCCTGGGAATTCCGCCGCGGCGCTGGGCCTGGAGATTTTCCATAAAAATTCCAGCGGAACCAGCTGGGAGCTGGGAAGGAGCTCGGAAAGAGGAAAAATATCACCGGGAAAACCTTGGGAAGGGAAATTCCACATGGAAATTCCACCTGGAATTGTCCCCATGGGTGGGAAGGAGGAAATCCAACCTCATCCCGTGGGTTGGGATCCTTCATCCCGCCCGGCCCGGCACATTCCGGGATTTGGGATTTGCTCTGATCCAGATTCTCCCACCGGGATCCAGAGGTTTGGGATCAGCTCCGGGTGTCTTTTCCAGCCCCACATTCCCAAAAAACCACCTCGGATCCACGACTTTTCCTGGTCTCCGAGGGCTTCTCCCGCTCCGGCAATTCCGGAATTCCATGGAATGGTTTGAGCTGTGTTGACACCGGAATCAATTCCCAGATCCGGAGCAGTTTTTATTCCCTTTAAATCATTTTAAATCCCATTTTTTCCCTCCCTCATCCCGCTTTTCCAGCAGAACCCAGAGGAGCAGGGCTGGAATCCAGCCCGGATCCACCGCGGAACAAATCCAGGGATGGAAACCGAGGAGGAGGAAAAGCAACCAGAGCTCAATTCCGCCGGAATCTCCAAAATCCAGGGAAATATTCCCAAACCTTTCCTGGAGAAAAGACAAATCCGGAATTCCCTCCTCCCGCAGAGCCAAGGCCAAAGGATTTGGGATCATCCCAAACATTCCCCCTGGCGTTCCGTGCCTCAGTTTCCCTGTGGATATTCCCTGGAATATTCCAGCCCCGATTCCCTCTCTCCATGTCCTGGGAATATTCCAGCCCCGATTCCCTCTCTCCATTTCCCGGGAATATTCCAGCCCTGATTCCCTCTCTCCATTTTCCGGGAATATTCCAGCCCTGATTCCTCCTCTCTCCATTTCCTGGGAATATTCCAGCCCTGATTCCCTCTCTCCATTTCCCGGGAATATTCCAGCCCTGATTCCCTCTCTCCATTTCCCGGGAATATTCCAGCCCTGATTCCTCCTCTCTCCATTTCCTGGGAATATTCCAGCCCTGATTCCTCCTCTCTCTCCATTTCCCTGGAATATTCCAGCCCCAATTCCCCCTCTCTCCATTTCCTGGGAATATTCCAGCCCCGATTCCTCCTCTCTCTCTATTTCCCGGGAATATTCCTATCCCAGTTTCCCTTATCCCGTTTTTCCCGGGAGATGTTCCTGCCCCGGTTTTCCCGGGAGATGCTCTTGTCCCGGTTCTCCCTGGCCGGGTATTCCCGGGAGATTTTCCTCCCAATTTTTCCCGGAGGACGCTCCTCTCCCGGTTCCGCCTGTCCCGGTCCCACCGGAGATTCTCCTGTCCCGGTTCCCCTGTCCCGGTTGCTCCTGTCCCGGTCCCACCGGGCCTTTCCCAGTCCCGTTTTTCCCGGAGGACGCTCCATTCCCGGTTCTCCTGTCCCGGTTCCCCTGTCCCGGTCCCACCGGGCCTTTCCCAGCCCCGTTTTTCCCGGAGGACGCTCCATTCCCGGTTCCCCTGTCTCGGTTCCTCCTGTCCCGGTACCACCGGAGATTCTCCTGTCCCGGTTCCCCTGTCTCAGTTCCCCCTGTCCCGGTTCCTCCGGGACTTTCCCAGTCCCGTTTTTCCCGGAGGACGCTCCATTCCCGGTTCCCCTGTCCCGGTTCCCCTGTCCCGGTTCCGCCTGTCCCGGTCCCACCGGAGATTCTCCTGTCCCGGTTCCCCTGTCTCAGTTCCGCCTGTCCCGGTCCCACCGGGACTTTTGGGACTTTTCCAGCCCCGTTTTCCCGGAGGACGCTCCATTCCCGGTTCCGCCTGTCCCGTTTCGGCCTGTCCCGGTTCCCTTGTCCCGGTTCCCCTGTCCCGGTTCCCCTGTCCCGGTTGCTCTTGTCCCGGTCCCACCGGGCCTTTCCCAGCCCCGTTTTTCCCGGAGGACGCTCCATTCCCGGTTCCCCTGTCCCGGTACCACCGGAGATTCTCCTGTCCCGGTTCCGCCTGTCCCGGTACCGCCGGAGATTCTCCTGTCCCGGTTCCCCTGTCCCGGTTCCCCCTGTCCCGGTCCCACCGGGACTTTCCCAGTCCCGTTTTTCCCGGAGGACGCTCCATTCCCGGTTCCCCTGTCCCGGTTCTGCCTGTCCCTGTTCCCACTGTCCCGGTTGCTCCTGTCCCGGTCCCACCGGAGATTCTCCTGTCCCGGTTCCCCTGTCCCGGTTCCCCCTGTCCCGGTTCCGCCTGTCCCGGTCCCACCGGGACATTCCCAGCCCCGTTTTTCCCGGAGGACGCTCCTGTCCCGGTTCCGCCTGTCCCGGTACCACCGGAGATTCTCCTGTCCCAGTTCCCCTGTCCCGGTTCCGCCTGTCCCGGTACCACCAGAGATTCTCCTGTCCCGGTTCCCCTGTCCCGGTTCCGCCTGTCCCGGTTCCCCTGTCCCGGTTCCCCCTGTCCCGGTGTCCCAGGGAGTTTCTCCTGTCCCGGTTCCCCTGTCCCGGTTCCCCTGTCCCGGGAGATTCTCCTGTCCCGGTTCCCCTGTCCCGGTCCCCCTGTCCCGGTCCCACCGGGAGATTCTCCTGTCCCGGTTCCCCCGTCCCGGTTCCCCCAATCCCGGTCCCAGCCCCGTTTTTCCCGGAGGACGTTCCATTCCCGGTTCCCCTGTCCCGGTTCCCCTGTCCCGGTGTCCCAGGGAGTTTCTCCTGTCCCGGTTCCCCTGTCCCGGACCCACCGGGACTTTCCCAGCCCCGTTTTTCCCGGAGGTCGCTCCATTCCCGGTTCCCCTGTCCCGGTTCCCCTGTCCCGGTACCACCGGAGATTCTCCTGTCCCGGTTCCGCCTGTCCCGGTCCCACCGGGACTTTCCCAGCCCCGTTTTTCCCGGAGGACGCTCCATTCCCGGTCCCCCTGTCCCGGTCCCACCGGAGATTCTCCTGTCCCGGTTCCACCTGTCCCGGTTCCACCTGTCCCGGTTCCGCCTGTCCCGGTTCCCCCTGTCCCGGTGTCCCAGGGAGTTTCTCCTGTCCCGGTTCCCCCAATCCCGGTTCCCCCAGGACTTTCCCAGTCCCGTTTTTCCCGGAGGACGCTCCATTCCCGGTCCCCCTGTCCCGGTTCCCCTGTCCCGGTTCCCCCTGTCCCGGTTCCCCCTGTCCCGGTTCCCCCTGTCCCGGTTCCCCTGTCCCGGTTCTCCTGTCCCGGTCCCCCTGTCCCGGTCCCACCGGGACTTTCCCAGCCCCGTTTTCCCCGGAGGACGCTCCATTCCCGGTTCCCCCTGTCCCGGTTCCCCTGTCCCGGTTCCCCCTGTCCCGGTTCCCCCTGTCCCGGTTCCCCCTGTCCCGGTTCCCCTGTCCCGGTTCCCCTGTCCCGGTTCCCACCGGGACTTTCCCAGTCCCTTTTTTCCCGGAGGATGCTCCATTAGGGTTCCCCCTGTCCCGGTACCACCAGAGATTCTCCTGTCCCGTTCCCCCTGTCCCGGTACCACCAGAGATTCCCCTGTCTCGGTTCCCCTGTCCCGGTTCCTCCTGTCCCGGTTCTGCCTGTCCCGGTTCCCCTGTCCCAGTTCCCCCTGTCCCGGTCCCACCGGGACTTTTGGGACTTTTCCAGCCCCGTTTTTCCCAGAGGACGCTCCATTCCCGGTTCCCCTGTCCCGGTACCACCGGAGATTCTCCTGTCCCGGTTCCCCTGTCCCGGTTCCCCTGTCCCGGTCCCACCAGGACTTTCCCAGTCCCGTTTTTCCCGGAGGACGCTCCATTCCCGGTTCCCCCTGTCCCGGTTCCCCTGTCCCGGTTCCCCTGTCCCGGTTCCTCCTGTCCCGGTACCACCGGAGATTCTCCTGTCCCGGTTCCCCTGTCCCGGTCCCACCGGGAGATTCTCCTGTCCCGGTTCCCCTGTGTTGGTTCCTCCTGTCCCGGTACCACCAGGACTTTCCCAGCCCCGTTTTTCCCGGGGGACGCTCCATTCCCGGTTCCCCCTGTCCCGGTTCCCCTGTCCCGGTTCTGCCTGTCCCGGTCCCACCGGGCCTTTCCCAGCCCCGTTTTTCCCGGAGGACGCTCCATTCCCGGTTCCACCTGTCCCGGTTCCACCTGTCCCGGTTCCCCTGTCCCGGTTCCCCCAGGACTTTCCCAGCCCCGTTTTTCCCGGAGGACGTTCCATTCCCGGTTTCCCCTGTCCCGTACCGCCTGTCCCGATGCCACCGCAGATTCTCCTGTCCCGGTTCCGCCTGTCCCGGTCCCACCGGGATTTTTCCAGCCCAGTTTTTCCCGGAGAACGCTCCATTCCCGGTTCCCCTGACCCGGTTCCTCCTGTCCCGGTTCCCCCGGGACTTTCCCAGCCCCGTTTTTCCCGGAGGACGTTCCATTCCCGGTTCCCCTGTCCCGGTTCCCCTGTGTCGGTTCCTCCTGTCCCGGTCCCACCGGAACTTTTCCAGCCCCGTTTTTCCCGGAGGACGTTCCATTCCCGGTTCCCCCTGTCCCGGTCCCACCGGAGTTTCTCCTGTCCCGGTTCCCCTGTCCCGGTTCCCCCGGGCCTTTCCCAGCCCCGTTTTCCCGGCGGACGCTCCATCCACCCCCCGTTCCCTCCCCCGTTCCGGGGCGGGCTGGAGCGGCGGGGGCGGCCCCGGTGGGCGGGAGGGGCGCGGGGATCCCGGCCCCGCTCCCGTCCCGCCTCCAAAAGGCTCCGGCCCGGGCGGGCCCCGCTCACGGCCCGGGACCCCGCACCCATGGGCGGCTGCCGGGCCCCGCCGCGCCCCGGGGGGACCCCTCGCAGTCCCGGGGCTCCGGGACCGGCCGGCACCGGCGGGGCGCAGCCCGGGGACTGAGGAAACACCGGGAAGAGGCCACGGGAAGCTCGGGAAATCCCGCGGGTGAGCGGGGAACGGGGGAGAGCCGGGAGGGGAGCGGGGTGGGGGAGCCCCGAGAGTCGGGGGTGGCGGAGAGGGAGATGCTCCCGGTATCCCGGGGGAATTCCTGCGTCCCGGTTCTCCCGGGATGCTCCAGCCCCGAATTCCTGCGTCCCGGTTCTCCCGGGATGCTCCAAGTCCCGGTTCTCCCGGGATGCTCCAGCCACGAATTCCTCTGTCCCGGTTCTCCCGGGATGCTCCTGTACCGAATTCCTGAGTCCCGGTTCTCCCGGGATGCTCCAGCCCCGAATTCCTGAGTCCCGGTTCTCCCGGGATGCTCCAGCCCCGAATTCCTCTGTCCCGGTTCTCCCGGGATGCTCCAGCCCCGAATTCCTGCGTCCCGGTTCTCCCGGGATGCTCCTGTACCGAATTCCTGCGTCCCGGTTCTCCCGGGATGCTCCAGCCCCGAATTCCTGCGTCCCGGTTCTCCCGGGATGCTCCAAGTCCCGGTTCTCCCGGGATGCTCCAGCCACGAATTCCTCTGTCCCGGTTCTCCCGGGATGCTCCTGTACCGAATTCCTGAGTCCCGGTTCTCCCGGGATGCTCCAGCCCCGAATTCCTCTGTCCCGGTTCTCCCGGGATGCTCCAGCCCCGAATTCCTGCGTCCCGGTTCTCCCGGCCCCATCCCGATGCCAGAGCCAGGATTGGGAATCGGACTGGGATTGGGATTGGGAATGGGATTGGGACTGGGAATGGGATTGGGATTGGGATTGGGACAGGGATGGTGATTGGAACTGGGATTGGGATTGGGATTGGGAATGGGACTGGGAATGGGAATTGGGACTGGGATTGGGATTGGGATTGGGATTGGGGTTGGGATTGGGATTGGGAATGGGAATGGGAATGGGAATGGGAATGGGAATGGGAATGGGAATGGGAATGGGATGGGGATTGGGATTGGGACTGGGATTGGGAATGGGACTGGGAATGGGACTGGGATTAAGAATGGGACTGGGACTGGGACTGGGACTGGGACTGAGACTGGGACTGAGACTGAGACTGGGACTGGGACTGGGACTGGGATAGGGAATGGGAATGGGAATAGAAATGGGAATGGGAATGGGAATGGGAATGGGAATGGGAATGGGAATGGGAATGGGATTGGGACTGGGACTGGGATTGGGATTGGGATGGGGATTGGAAATGGGATGGGGACTGGGATTGGGACTGGGATTGGGATTTAGATTTGGACTGGGATTGGCATTTGGCCTGGGACTGGGATGGGGACTGGGATTGGGAATGGGAATGGGACTGGGATTGGGACTGGGTTTGGGACTTGGACTGGGATTAGAATTGGGAATGGGATTGGGATTGGGATTGAGATTGAGATTTGAACAGGAATTGGGATGGGGATTTAGACTGGCATTGGACTGGGACTGGGACTGGGACTGGGACTGGGATTGGGAATGGGATTGGAAATGGGACTGGGACTGGGATTGGGATTGGGATTGGGGACCGGGACCGGGACTGGGACTGGGATGTCCCGAGGCCCAGCCCCGTGGGACATTCCCGTTTTTCTCCAGCAGGATGGAGAGCAAGGCCGTGGGTCTCCGCACCTTCTCGGAGCGGGAGAACGGATCCGTCCTGGATGAGCCCTTCGAGGGACGGAGCCTCTCCAAGATGAACCTCTGCGAGGACGGTGAGGGCGGATCCGCCTCGGGATCCACTCGGGATCTGCCTCGGGATCCACTCGGGATCTGCCTCGGGATCCACTCGGGATCTGCCTCTTGATCCGCCTCGGGATCCACTCGGGATCTGCCTCGGGATCCACTCCTGGATCCACCTCTGTATCCAGCCCCAGATCTGCCTCCAGATCCACCTGTGGATCTGCCTCAGGATCCATCCTGAGGGATCTTTATGGAATTCGGGGATGGAAAAGGGAAGGGAGACCCTTCCTGGAATCCCAAATTCCCAGTGAAGCCCCTGGATCCCAAAATTCCTTCTCCAGGAGGAATCAGGAGGGGGATGGATCCAATGCCAGGCTGGGAGAGCCGGGAATGTTCCCCTGGATCGGGGAAGGATCCAGGGAATCCTTGGAGCCGCTTCCCGATCCCAAAGGGGCTCCAGGAGAGCTGGAATTTGGGGAAGGGCTGGAGGGGCAGGAGCCAGGGAATGGAATTCCCAGCGGGAAAGGGGAGCTTGGGATTTTGGGATCTGGGGCAGGAATTCCCGGCTGGGAAGGTGGGGCCGGGCTGGCTGAGCTGGGAACATCCCGCTCCGGGGAAATTCCTGCTGGGAATGCTGCAAGGGGCTGACGGAGCTGATTCCAAGGGGAGTTTTGGATCCTCATCCAGGAAATCCCTGAGTGTCGATCCTAATCCCAAAGGTTGATGTCCCAACTTCCCGATCCTGCTGTTCCCATCCCTTCAGCTGGAAAAGCCGGGAGGGAAGAGCCGCAGCCTCTCCCGGGACTGATCCCAGAATTCCCAACAAACCCCTGGCCTTGGGAAAGGCTGGACGTGCCTCCCCGGCTCCGGGATTTTCATGGAATTCCGCTTGGAATTCTCGGGGCTCATCCCAGGGAACGGGATTTCTGGGATGGGGCAGGAGCAAAGCCATCCCTGCGGGTGGGACCCGCCCGAATTCCTGGAAAATTCCCACCGGGAAGGGCGAGGTTCCATCAGGAGCGCGATCCAAACCTGCTGCTGGGCCAGGATCAGCATTCCCGGACCTTTTCCAGGGTTTTGAGGACCCCAAATCCCGAAATCCCGGTTGTTTTCCTCCTCCCGCTCCCCGGAGCCTGGGCAGGGGCAGGAAATGTTGGCTTTTCCTTGGATCCCGGCCCTTTCCACGCGCTTCCAAGGGCCGGGAATGGGAGTGGGCGGATCGGGGCGCGCCGCCAGCTCCTGCCGGGATGTCCCAGGAGCCGCTGGAAGTGGGAAAAGTCAGGAAAACACCGGCGCCCTCCTCACCCCGCGGCTCCAGGAATTCCGGGCGGGGAGCGGGGGATGGGATCCAGCTGGATAATCCCGGATCCCACCTGAGCCCGTTCCCTGGGATCGGCCCCTGGATCCATCCCGGAGCTCCGTGCCGAGATTCCAAAGCCGGGCTGAGGTTTGGGATCCGCCCGTCCTGACCCTTTCCCGGCTGGAGGCTTTTCCAGCCGGCCCCGGAGCTCGGGAAGGACAAGGGGAAGGATCCCTGGAATTCTGGGGTGTCCCCATCCGTGGGTTCCATCGCCGGAATTCCAGGGAGCAGCGAGATCCCACCGGGATGGGGCGAGGTCCCACCTGGGCATTGTCCCTGGGAAGGGATGGGCCAGGGTGGGAATTGCCTTGGGATGGGATCCCAAATCCCAGGGGGAATGGGATCCCAAATTCCAGCAGGGTTGAGATCCCAAATCCCAGTGGGAATGGGATCCCAAATTCCAGCAGGAATGAGATCACAAATCCCAGCAGGGATTGGATCCATTGCCTTGGGATGAGATCCCAAATCTCAGTAGGAATGGGACCCCAAATCCCACTGAGAATGGGCGAGGATGGAACTGGGAATTGCCATGGGATGGGATCCCAAATTCCAGGGGGAATGGGATCCCAAATCCCAGTGGGAATGGGATCCCAAATGCCAGCAGGGATTGGATCCATTGCTTTGGGATGAGATCCCAAATCTCAGTAGGAATGGGATCCCAAATCCCAGCAGGAATTCTCCAGGCTGGAGCTCGAAATTGCCTTGGATGGGATCCCAGATCCCAGCGGGAATGGGATCCCAAATTCCAGCAGGGATGAGATCCCAAATCACAGCAGGGATTGGATCCATTGCCTTGGGATGAGATCCCAAATCCCAGCGGGAATGGGATCCCAAATCCCAGCAGGGATGAGATCCCAAATCCTAGTGGGAATGGGATCCCAAATTCCAGCAGCGATGAGATCCCAAATCCCAGTGGAAATGGGATCCCAAATTCCAGCAGGGGTGGGCCAGGCTGGGAATTGCCTTGGGATGGGATCCCAAATTCCAGGGGGAATGGGATCCCAAATTCCAGCAGGGATGAGATCCCAAATTCCAGCAGGGATGAGATCCCAAATTCCAGCAGGGCTGAGATCCCAAATTCCAGTGGGAATGGGATCCCAAATTCCAGCAGGGATGAGATCCCAAATTCCAGGGGGAATGGGATCCCAAATCCCAGTGGGAATGGGATCCCAAATTCCAGCAGGGATGAGATCCCAAATGCCAGCAGGGATGAGATCCCAAATGCCAGCAGGGATGAGATCCCAAATCGCAGCAGGGATTGGATCCATTGCCTTGGGATGAGATCCCAAATCCCATCAGGAAATGGGATCCCAAATTCCAGCAGGGATGGGCCAGGCTGGGAATTGCCTTGGGATGGGATCCCAAATTCCAGCGGGAATGGGATCCCAAATGCCAGCAGGGATGGGATCCCAAATCCCAGTGGAAATGGGATCCCAAATCCCAGGGGGAATGAGATCCCAAATGCCAGCAGGGATGGGATCCCAAATGCCAGCAGGGATTGGATCCATTGCCTTGGGATGAGATCCCAAATCTCAGTAGGAATTCTCCAGGCTGGAGCTCGGAATTGCCTTGGATGGGATCCCAAATTCCAGGGGGAATGGGATCCCAAATTCCAGCAGGGATGAGATCCCAAATCACAGCAGGGATTGGATCAATTGCCTTGGGATGAGATCCCAAATCCCAGCAGAAATGGGATCCCAAATTCTGGCAGGGGTGGGCCAGGCTGGGAATTGCCTTGGGATGGGATCCCAAATTCCAGGGGGAATGGGATCCCAAATCCCAGCAGGGATGAGATCCCAAATCCCAGTGGGAATGGGATCCCAAATGCCAGCAGGGATGAGATCCCAAATCCCAGCAGGGATTGAATCCATTGCCTTGGGATGAGATCCCAAATCCTGGTGGGAATGGGATCCCAAATCCCAGTGGGAATGGGCCAGGCTGGAGCTGGGAATTGCCTTGGATGGGATCCCAAATCCCAGCGGGAATGGGCCAGGCTGGAACTGGGAATTGCCTTGGATGGGATCCCAAATTCCAGTGGGAATTGGCCAGGCGGGAGCTGGGAATTGCCTTGGGATGGGATCCCAAATCCCAGCAGGAATGCCCTTCCCCAAATTCCAGCTCTCCTGGAGCCCCTTTGGGATCGGGAAGCGGCTCCAAGGATTCCCTGGATCCTTCCCTGATCCAGGGGAACATTCCCAGCTCATCCTGATTCCACCTGGAGTAGGAATTTCGGGATGCAGAGGTTTCACTGGGAATTCAGGACTCCAGGAAGGGTCTCCCTTCCCTTTTCCATCCCCGAATTCCACAAAAAACCCTTGGGATGTATCCTGAGTGTCCTTGATCCCAGAGTCCTGGAATGGTTTGGGTGGGAAGAGACCTCAAATCCCATCCCAGGGACACTTCCCAGGATTCCGGGGTGATCCAAGCCCATCCCACCTTTCCTTGGGCACTGCCAGGGATTCTCTGGGAATTCCAGCCCAGCCGGGAATTCCTTCCCCAGATCCCAAAATCCCAAGCTCCCCTTTCCCACTGGGAATTCCATTCCCTGGCTCCTGCCCCTCCAGCCCTTCCCCAAATTCCAGCTCTCCTGGAGCCCCTTTGGGATCGGGAAGCGGCTCCAAGGATTCCCTGGATCCCTCCCTGATCCAGGGGAACATTCCCGGCTCTCCCAGCCTGGCAGTGGATCCATCCCCATCCCGATTCCTCCTGGAGAAGGAATTTTGGGATCCAGGGGCTTCACTGGGAATTCGGGACTCCAGGAAGGGTCTCCCTTCCCTTTTCCATCCCCGAATTCCACAAAAATCCCTCGGGATGGATCCTGAGTGTCCTCGATCCCAGAATTCCCAACGCCTCCCACTATCCCAGCTTGCTCCAATCCCACCCAACCTCAATCCAAGGATGGATCCCCTTTGTTCCTCCCTCCCCGGGGATGATCCCAAACCCTTCCCGCGGCATTCCGGGGCCTCGGTGAAGCCGCATCCCGATCCATCCCGCAGATCCCGGCCGGAGGATGAGACCCTCGGGATTCTGCGGCCGGATTTGCTCCGTGGCGGCGCTGAGATATTCCGTGGTGGGACTTTACCTCCTGGTGCTCCTCATCCTGGTGGGAATCTTCATCCTGGCAGGTGAGGCTGGCCCGGCTCTTCCCGGGATGCTCCCAGGAGCAGGAGATTCCATGGTCTTGGAATTCCGGCCCGGGAGGGTTTTCCAGGTTCATCAAAGGGAGGGGAACTTGGGATCCAACGGAAAATAAAACCCCCAAAAAACCAAAAAAAAACCCTCAAAACTCATAAAAAACCACAAAGAATAAAAAAAAATCCCCCAAAAACCCTAAAATATCCCAAAAGAAATTCCCCCCACAAAACTCATTAAAAAACCCCAAAGAATTAAAAAAAAAATCCCCAAAAATCTCAAAAAACCTCAAAATATCCCAAAAGAAATCCCCGCCAAAAACCCCAAACCCATAAAAATCCCCAAAGAATTAAAAAAAAAAATCCCCCAAAATCTCAAAAAGCCTAAAATATCCCAAAAGAAATCCCCCCAAAAACTCATTAAAAAACCCCAAAGAATTTAAAAAAAAATCCCCCAAAAATCTCAAAAACCTCAAAATATCCCAAAAGAAATCCCCCCAAAAAACTCATAAAAAAAACCCCAAAGAATTAAAAAAAAAAAATCCCCCAAAAATCTCAAAAACCTCAAAATATCCCAAAAGAAATCCCCCCACAAAACTCATTAAAAATACCCAAAAAATTAAAAAAAAAAATCCCTCAAAAATCTCAAAAACCCTAAAATATCCCAAAAGAAATCCCACCACAAAACTCATAAATAAACCCCAAAGAATTAAAAAAAAATCCCCCAAAAATCTCAAAAACCGTAAAATATCCTAAAAGAAATCCCCCCCAAAACTCATTAAAAAACCACAAAGAATTTAAAAAAAAAATCCCCCAAAAATCTCAAAAACCGTAAAATATCCCAAAAGAAATCCCCCCACAAAACTCATAAAAAACCACAAAGAATTAAAAAAAAAAAGTCCCTCAAAAATGTCAAAAACCCCAAAATATCCCAAAATAAATCCCCCCCCAAAACTCATTAAAAAACCCCAAAGAATTAAAAAAAAATCCCCCAAAAATCTCAAAAACCGTAAAATATCCCAAAAGAAATCCCCCCACAAAACTCATTAAAAAACCCCAAAGAATTTAAAAAAAAAAATCCCCCAAAAATCTCAAAAACCTCAAAATATCCCAAAAGAAATCTCCCCCCACAAAACTCATAAAAAACCCCAAAGAATTAAAAAAAAAAAGTCCCTCAAAAATGTCAAAAACCGTAAAATATCCCAAAAGAAATCCCCCCCAAAAACTCATTAAAAAAACCCAAAGAAATTAAAAAAAAAATCCCCAAAAAATCTCAAAAACACTAAAATATCCCAAAAGAAATCCCCCCAAAAAACTCATTAAAAAACACCAAAGAATTTAAAAAAAGAAATCCCACAAAAATCTCAAAAACCCGTAAAATATCCCAAAAGAAATCCCCCCCAAAAACCCCAAACCCCATTAAAAAAACCCAAAAATTGAAAAAAAAATCCCCCAAATAAATCCCAAAAACTTGTAAAAAAGGTGAAGAATTAAAAAAAAAATCAGAAAAATCCCAAAACCCTTAAAAAACCCCAAAAATTAAAAAAAATCCCCCAAATAAATCCCAAAAACCTGTTAAAAAGGCGAGGAATTAAAAAAAAAAATCAGAGAAATCCCAAAACCCATAAAAAACCCCAAGAATTGAAAAAAAATCCCCCAAATAAATCCCAAAAACTTGGAGAAAAGATGAATAATAAAAAAAAAAAATCAGAAAAATCCCAAAACCCATAAAAAACACAAAAATTGAAAAAAAATCCCCCAAATAAATCCCAAAAACCTGTTAAAAAGGTGAATAAAAATAAAAAAAATCAAGAAAAACCCAAAACCCATTAAAAAACCCAAAAATTGAAAAAAATCCCCCAAATAAATCCCAAAAACCTGTTAAAAAGGTGAAGAATTAAAAACAAAAATCAGAAAAATCCCAAAACCCATAAAAAGCCCCAAAAATTGGAAAAAATCCCCGAAATAAATCCCAAAAACTTGTAAAAAAGATTAATAATAAAAAAAAATCAGAAAAATCTCAAAATCCATAAAAAAACCCAAAAATTGAAAAAAACAAATCCCCGAAATAAATCCCAAAAACTTGTAAAAAAGATTAATAATAAAAAAAATCAGAAAAATCTCAAAATCCATAAAAAAACCCAAAAATTGAAAAAAACAAATCCCCCAAATAAATCCCAAAAACTTGTAAAAAAGATGAATAATAAAAAAAATCAGAAAAATCCCAAAACCCATAAAAAAACCCAAAAATTGAAAAAAAAAATCCCCCAAATAAATCCCAAAAACCTGTTAAAAAGGTGAAGAATTTAAAAAAGAAACCAAACAGAAAAATCCCAAAACCCATAAAAAACCCCAAAACTCATAAAAAACCCCAAAGAATTAAAAAAAAATTCCCAAAAAATCTCAAAAACACTAAAATATCCCAAAAGAAATCCCCCCCAAAACTCATAAAAAGCCCCAAAGAATTTAAAAAAAAATCCCTCAAAAATCTCAAAAACCCCAAAATATCCCAAAAGAAATCCCCCCCCAAAACTAATAAAAAAACCCCAAACAATTAAAAAAAATTCCCAAAAAATCTCAAAAACCTCAAAATATCCCAGAAGAAATTCCCCCCAAAAAACTCATTAAAAAACCCCAAAGAATAAAAAAAAAATCCCCTAAAAATCTCAAAAACTCTAAAATATCCCAAAAGAAATCCCCCCCAAAACCCCCAAACCCCATAAAAAACCCCAAAAATTGAAAAAAAAAATCCCCCAAATAAATCCCAAAAACTTGTAAAAAAGATGAATAATAAAAAAAAATCAGAAAAATCCCAAAACTCATAAAAAAACCCAAAAATTGAAAAAAAATCCCCCAAATAAATCCCAAAAACTTGTAAAAAAGGTGAAGAATTAAAAAGAAAAAATAACAGAAAAATCCCAAAACCCATGGAAAAAACCCAAAAATTGAAAAAAAAAAACCCAAATCAATCCCAAAAACCGGTTAAAAAGGTGACGAATTTAAAAAAAAAAAAAAAACAGAAAAATCCCAAAACCCATAGAAAAAACCCAAAAATTAAAAAAAAAATCCCCCAAATAAATCCCAAAAACTTGTAAAAAAGGTGAAGAATTAAAAAGAAAAAAATCAGAAAAATCCCAAAATCCATAAAAAACCCCGAAGAATTTGAAGTAATCCCAAAAATTCCTCCTTTAACCCCCATGGGGATGTGCCGAGGGGGTTTTTTCCCGGCTGGAAAACCACAGGGATGGGGTGGGATAAAGGGGAACCACAGGGAGGCAGCCCCAGCTCGTCCTGGAAAACCGGGAATGTTCCGGAGGGATCGGATTTCCCATGGAAAATCCCTTCCGGAGGCAGACACGGAGCCGGGAATTTCTCTCCCGCCTGACGGGAAAGGGCTTGGAAAAATACATGGAATGATTCCGGTGGGAAGGGTCCCAAATTCCATAGGGATGCTTCCCACTATCCAACTGGTCCTGGAATGTTTTGGGGTGGCGTTTTAGGCCGGGAATTGTTTGGGATCCGGCTGGGGCACGCGACTTTCCTTGGAAAAGAGGTTGGGAAAAGGGTCAGCACCACAAATCCAAGGAAACGCCCCGGAGCAGCGGGAATGGGACTGGCGGAATTCCAGGAAAACCCCAGGAGAAGCACCTCACTCCCGGAATCTTGGAAAAGGGGAGCAGAGGGAAGAGGAGAAACAGGGAAATGGTCGCCGCGGCTTTCTGGAAATTCGGGATTTATGCCGAGCCTCTGGATTTGGAAGTGGCCAAATGCTGGAATTTGGAGCTGGGAATGTGCGGAGGGGTTTTTTCCCGGCTGGAAAACCACAGGGATGGGGTGGGATAAAGGGGAACCACAGGGAGGCAGCTCCAGCTCATCCTGGGAAAACCGGGAATGTTCATGGATTTCCCATGGAAAATCCCTTCCCAGGCTCCTGGAGGCAGACACGGAGCCGGGAATTTCTCTCCCGCCCGAGGGGAAGGGGCTTGGAAAGATTCAGGGAATCATGGAATGGTTCCGGTGGGAAGGGTCCCAAATTCCATAGGGATGCTTCCCACTATCCAACTGGTCCTGGAATGTTTTGGGGTGGCGTTTTAGGCCGGGAATTGTTTGGGATCCAGCTGGGGCACGCGACTTTCCTTGGAAAAGAGGTTGGGAAAAGGGTCAGCGCCACAAATCCAAGGAAAAGCCCCGGAGCAGCGGGAATGGGACTGGCGGAATTCCAGGAAAACCCCAGGAGAAACACTTCACTCCCGGAATCTTGGAAAAGGGGAGCAGAGGGAAGAGGAGAAACAGGGAATTGTTCGCCGCGGCTTTCTGGAAATTCGGGATTTTCTGCCGAGCCTCTGGATTTGGAAGCGGCCGAGTGCTGGAATTTGGAGCTGGGGATGTTGTGGAAGGGTTTTATCCCGGCTGGAAAACCACAGGGATGGGGTGGGATAAAGGGGAACCACAGGGAGGCAGCCCCAGCTCGTCCTGGGAAAACCGGGAATGTTCCAGAGGGATCGGATTTCCCATGGAAAATCCCTTCCAGAGGCAGACACGGAGCCGGGAATTTCTCTCCCGTCTGAGGGGAAGGGGCTTGGAAAGATTCAGGGAATCATGGAATGGTTCCGGTGGGAAGGGTCCCAAATTCCATAGGGATGCGTCCCACTATCCAACTGGTCCTGGAATGTTTTGGGGTGGCGTTTTAGGCCGGGAATTGTTTGGGATCCGGCTGGGGCACGCGACTTTCCTTGGAAAAGAGGTTGGGAAAAGGGTCAGCGCCACAAATCCAAGGAAATGTCCCGGAGCAGCGGGAATGGGACGTTTTCCTCCCCGGAGCCCCTGGGAATTCACATTCCCTAAATCCCTACCCCAGATCCCCCCAATCCACTAAAAACCCTCCGAGGCTGCGGCTGGGACTCCCATCTCCAACTTTTTCATGGAATTGTGGAATTGTTGAGGTTGGAAAACTCCTTGGACCCCCCAACCGTTCCCCCCGATCCGTGTCCCCAGGTGCCACACCCACACGGATTTAAATCCCTACGGGAATAGCGACGCCACCCCTGCACGAGGGGAACAATTCCATGAGGGAATTGTTCCTCATTCCAGCCTCAACTTTCCCTGGAAAAACTCGGGGTGTTCCCTCTGGTGATTCACGTGTAAAAACAAAATCCCAAAAATCCTGGAGATTTTTCCCCGGGGAATGTTTCTCCCGGTAGTTTTCCATCCTTTCCCTGGAATCTGTTCCACCTGAGCACCCCCTCAATCCCTCAAATCCTTCCCGGGAATGCCAGGGCCAAACTGGGATGGGATGGGATGGGATGGGATGGGATGGGATGGGATGGGATGGGATGGGATGGGATGGGATTGAAGGTCCCTTCCCACCCAAACCATTCCAGGATCCTCTGGAACTGCCGGGATGGCTCCGGGCTGGAGTTCCCAGCAGGAAAATCCAGTGGGATGCAGCTCCGAGGGATCGAAGGAAAACCCTGAGCTCCAGGGAATCCTTGGAGCCGCTTCCCAATCCCAAAGGGGCTCCAGGAGAGCTGGAATTTGGGGAAGGGCTGGAGGGGCAGGAGCCAGGGAATGGAATTCCCAGTGGGAAAGGGGAGCTTGGGATTTTGGGATCTGGGGCAGGAATTCCCGGCTGGGCTGGAATTCCCAGAGAATCCCTGGATCCCTGGGAATGTCCAAGGGTGGATTTGGATCACCCCGGGATCATGGGAAGTGTCCCTGGGATGGGATTTGAGGTCCCTTCCCACCCAAACCATTCCGGGATTATGGGATCACGGACTTTTGGAATCTATTCAGGGGGATTTTTATGGAATTTGGGGATGGAAAAGTGAAGGGAGACCCTTCCTGGAGTCCCAAATTCCCAGTGAAGCCCCTGGATCCCAAAATTCCTTCTCCAGGAGGAATCGGGATGGGGATGGATCCAATGCCAGGCTGGGAGAGCCGGGAATGTTCCCCTGGATCAGGGAAGGATCCAGGGAATCCTTGGAGCCGCTTCCCGATCCCAAAGGGGCTCCAGAAGAGCTGGAATTTGGGGAAGGGCTGGAGGGGTGGGACACAGGGAATGGAATTCCCAGTGGGAAAGGGGAGCTTGGGATTTTGGGATCTTGGGAAGGAATTCCCGGCTGGGCTGGAATTCCCAGAGAATCCCTGGCAGGGTCCAAGGAAAATTTGGATGGGCTTGGAGCAACCTGGGATGGTGGGAACTGTCCCTGGGATGGGATTGGAGGTCCCTTCCCACCCAAACCATTCTGGGATTCTGGGATCAAGGACACTCAGGATCCATCCCGAGGGATTTTTATGGAATTCGGGGATGGAAAAGGGAAGGGAGACCCTTCCCGGAGTCCCAAATTCCCAGTGAAGCTCCTGGATCCTGAAAATTTCTTCTCAAGGAGGAATTAGGATGGGGATGGATCCAATGCCAGGCTGGGAGAGCCGGGAATGTTCCCCTGGATCAGGGAAGGATCCAGGGAATCCTTGGAGCCGCTTCCCGATCCCAAAGGGGCTCCAGGAGAGCTGGAATTTGGGGAAGGGCTGGAGGGGCAGGAGCCAGGGAATGGAATTCCCAGTGGGAAAGGGGAGCTTGGGATTTTGGGATCTTGGGCAGGAATTCCCGGCTGGGCTGGAATTCCCAGAGAATCCCTGGCAGGGTCCAAAGAAAATTTGGATGGGGTTGGAGCAACCTGGGATGGTGGGAACTGTCCCTGGGATGGGATTTGAGGTCCCTTCCCACCCAAACCATTCCAGGACCCTCCAGCCCTTCTCCAGCTCCCAACCTCCTCCTCCTCCAGCCTTGGATCCCAGGAGGGGCTGAGGGGAGGAACCTTCGGAGCCGGGAATTCCACCCGGGAAAACGGCCTCCAAGGGTTCCTCCTGACCTCCCACCGCTCTCCTCCACCGCAGCGTCCCGACCCCAGGCGTCCCACCAGGACCTGCAGGTTCTGCTGGGGAACGTCCAACGCCTCAACGAGACCTTCCGGGACCTGCAGCTGCATCTGCTGCACGCGCTGCCCAGCGGGGACCTCCTGGAGCACATCTGGAGGCTGCAGGACCTCCTGCAGAACCACTCGGACGCGCTGCTCCTGCTGGGCGGCTCTCTCCGCCGGCTGGAGGGGTTCCTCTGGAGCCTCCAGGACCAGGCCGGCCAGGCGGAGCGCTCGGTGGCCCGGCTGCGCGACTCGGTGGCCCGGCAGAGCGAGGCGGCCCAGATGGAGCTGTCACGGCTCTCGGTGGACACCAACAGCAGCCGGTTGCTCCTGGAGCACCACCAGCACCTCCTGGGCCACCTCGGCGGGCGGTTGGAGGTCCTGGGCGAGCAGGTGGCGGCGTTGGCCGTGGTTGTGGATTCCATGAACCGCAGCTTCTCCTACGACGTCCGCCTGCAGAATTCCCATCTCCGGGACCTGCGGGAGCTCCTGGGCAACGCCAGCGCGGACGGGCGGCGGCTGCGGGCGGAGCAGGCGGCCCTGGAGCGGCAGCTGAGGATGGAGGTGGCCCTGCTCAACAACGTCACCGAGGATCTGCGCCTGAAGGACTGGGAGCATTCCGCGGCGCTCCGGAACGTCTCCGTCATCCGCGGTGAGCGACGGCGGAGCGGTGGGATCGGGAATGGTGGGATGGGTGTTCCCATGGGACGTGTCCATGGTGGTGGTCAGTCCATCAGGGGTTGGAGGGTTGTGGAGTTGTTGAGGTTGGAGAAGCTCTCCAAGGTCATGGATTCCCACCGGTTGCCATCGCTGGTCCGTGTCCTCCCAAATCCATGTGGATTTGAATCCCACCACTGATGGGGACTCCAAACCTCCTGGAATCTGTTCTAGTCCTTCCCGGCCCTTTCCAGGAAGGAATTGTTCCCAATATCCAACGAAACCTTCCCTGGTGCAGCCCGAGGCCGGTTCCTCATCCTGTTTCTTGGTTCCCGGGAGCAGATCCCGAATCCCACCTGGATCCAATTTTTCATGGAGTTGTGGAGAGGGAAAAGGTCCCCCCTGAGCCTCCTTTTCTCCAGGCTGAGCCCCTTCCCAGCTCCCTCAGCCCCTCCTGGGGCTCCGTTCCCTTCCCTGGACACGCTCCAGCCCCTCCAGGTCTCTCCGGTCGGGAATGTTCCAGATCCGCTCCCGTCCATCCCTGCTCAGGTGTCTCCATCCCCTTGGATTCTCCAAACCTTCCCCATCCACGGTTTGGAAGCTCCCAAGGTTCCCTCCAAGACTCCAGGAAAAACCAACTTCCCCCATCCCATCTTCTCCGCCTTTCCCACCCTCAGCCCTTCCCAAATCCCGGAATTATTGGGGTGGGAAGGGTCCTTAAATCCCATCCTCCTCCAACTCCAACCGTCCCAGGCTGCTCCAAGCCCTGCCCAGCCCGGCCTCGGGCACTTCCAGGGATCCAGGGACAGCCCCAGCTGCTCTGGGAACGCTGTGGGAACCCCATGGAGAAACCTGGGAGATCCCGGTGGGTTGGGAGGTTGGGAGCATCTCCTGTCCCGTTTTCCGCCTGTTGCACCTGCAGGGACCCCATGGACGCTGGAGCTCATTCCTGGCGCTTCCAGCTGGAATTCCAGCTGGAATTCCAAGGCCGGGGCTGGTGCCAAGGTGCTTGTTCCCCTTTTTCCATCTGCTGAGCCGGAGGGGATGGATTCCAGGAGATCCATCCTTTCCCTTGGAATACCAGCAGCTCCCGGGGTGCTGTCCCTCATCCTGGGGGGATGTTGGCTCCCGATCCCTGTTTTTGGGACGCTGGGATCCCCCTGCCCCCACTTCTTCGACATTTCCCTATTTCCCCACCCCTCGGATCCCGCTTTTCCCTCCCCACCCACCCATGGGAATGACATCACCAAGGGTGGGATCCACCACGGAGCCCTGGAATGGCGTTATCCCAAAAAACCAAACCCCTTCCCGAGGGCCGGCGCCGGATTGATCAGCCCTGACACATTCCTGGCATCCCAAACTTCCCTCTCCTCCCATCCCATGGATAATTCCCGGGGCCTCGCGCCCAGCTGGATTCATCCCAGCTCCAGATGTCCTTGGGTGAGTCCATCGTCGTGTTCCCGGCTGGATTTGGCCGAGCCGTTCCCTGCCTCCCTTTTCCTTCTCCCCAAATCCTCGGCTATCCCGGCCTCCGGATCCCGGATTTGGGAATTGGGGCGGTGGCACCCGAGGACAACGCCGAGGAGTTTCGGGTCTTGGGAGAATTCCCGGGATCTGCTTGGTGGATCCCTGGGTGGGATCCCAAAGGTGACGGGACGTTCCCATCCCTCATCCCGCCGGGATTGGAGGGTGGGGAGCCGGGATGCCGCAGGAATGGGATTTCCCGGGTGCGACCCCCAGGAGCTGTGGGGTGGGAAGGGCTGGGAATGCTCGGGAGCCTCTCCCAGCCGCCATTCCCAGTTTTCCTCCAGCCCCGCTGCTCCCAGTGTCCTGTCCCGAGAGCTGCTCCTGGGATGGGACCGTCCCCGGGAGCATTCCAGAAAATCTGTGGCTGCCCCATCCCTGGAAGTGACAATCCCAAGGGGTCTGGGATCCATCCCAAGGCTCTGGGATCCATCCCAATGTCTTGGGTCTATCCCAAGGTCTGGGATCCATCCCAAGGGGTCTGGGATCCATTCCCCAGATCTGGGGCCCATTCCCAGGATCTGGGATCCATTCCCAGGATCTGGGATCCATTCCCAGGATCTGGGGTTGGTTCCCAGGATCTGGGATCCATTCCCAGGATCTGGGATCCATTCCTGGAATCTGGGGTTCATTCCCAGGATCTGGGATCCACCCCAAGCTCTGGGATCCATTCCCCAGATCTGGGGTCCATTCCCAGGATCTGGAGTCCATTCCCAGGATCTGGGGCCCATTCCCGGAATCTGGGGCCCATTCCCAGGATCTGGGATCCATTCCCAGGATCTGGGGCCCATTCCTGGAATCTGGAATCCATTCCCAGGATCTGGGGTCTATCCCTGGGATCCAGAGTCAATTCCCGGAATCTGGGATCCATTCCTGGGATCTGGGGTCCATTCCCAGGATCCGGAGTCCATTCCCAGGATTTAGAGTCCATTCCCAGGATCTGGGGTCCATCCTTGGATTCTGGGATCCATTCCCTATCCCAAACCGTCTCCAGCCCGGGATATTTCCCAGCCTTGATGTGGGTCAGGATCCCACTCCAGATCCCATTCCAGATCCCGCTGCTGATCCCGCTGCTGATCCCACAGATTCCTACAGAACATTCCCAGATCCCAATCCCTGATCCATTAAAACCCATCCCTGCTCTTCCTGACCCTTTCCCAGCGCCCCGAGCCCTGCCTGGGTCTCAGCTCCCCAAATTCCCGGCTTTTAGGATTTCTGGGAAAACAGTTCCCAGTCCTCACCCCGGGATGGGCGGGAATGACCCTTCCCGGCCTCTCCCTGCCTTGTTTTATCCCGGGAATATTTTTTCACCCCGTTATTTTTCCCTTTTGGCTCCCGATTATTTTCAGCTTTTGGGATTTGACCCTTTGCAGGATGAGGGATCAAACCTGGGATTGGGATTTTTCTGTGCGTTCCTGGGATTTGACCAAAATCCTGCTGTCAATCCTTTCCTCAAGGATCATCTCCGGAATTCCCATCCCAGCTGGGCAAATGGAAAGTGTCCCTGCCCTTGGATGATCCTCAAAATCCTTTCCAAGCCCCAAAATTCCAGGATTGTATGAACATTCCCAAAATGTTCCCTGATTTCTTGAAATGATTTCCTTGGGAATGTCCCGGCTTTTGGCCTAAAGGAAAATTCCCGGAGCCGCGCTCGAGGTGAATTTTCCTGGCGGTTGGTGGAATCCAGTTTGCAATTTAAGATCCACAAATCCTGGGAATTTAAAATCATGGAAAACCGGGATCCCCGCTTTGTTCCCGCGTTTCCGGCGATCCCTGGATCTCCCGCTCCTGCTGCGCGTTCCCGACTCCGGGATGTGATTCCCGTTGTTTTCCAGGGCCGCCGGGACCCAAAGGAGACCGAGGCACGGAAGGGATGGAGGGACAGCCCGGCCTTCCCGGCCTTCCCGGGCTCCGAGGTAAGGAAAACATTCCCGGCATCCACAAAACCCCCAAAATTCCATCCTGAAACAACCCGGCTGATCCAAACCCAATTCCCGACCCGTCCTTGGGATGTCCCAACTCCTGAGGGACACCAGGATGGATCCGCTCTCCCAAATCCTGGAGGGAAAAACGTCATCGCCCACCCGGCTCCAGGAAATCCATGCTGTTATTCCCAGATTTCCAGGGATTCCCAGCCAGGCTGGAGCAGGAATTGGCCACCCCATTCCCAAACTGGAATCCCTGGAGCCTTCCAAGGGCTGGAATTGCTGCTGGATCCCTCCAGCAGATCCCGGGAACCCGGCAGAGAGGCCTTGGCTCCAAGATTTTTCCAGAATTTTCTTTTTCCAACGTCAGCGATGCCACTTTTCCCACCTCCCCCCTTCTTAATTCCATTAATTTTTAATTTTTGGGAGGAATTCCGCTGGAAGCCACCAGAGGACATTCCCACCCTGAGGAGGGTTGGCTCCAGCTGTTCCTGGTTTGAAGGAAATCTGGGAATGCTGCTCTGCTTCCGAGGGTTGGGAATGGCACGGAGCGGGGCAGGATCCCCCGGGACAGCTTTGTCCCACGGAGGTGACGGGATCAATCCCGCCGGGAGCAGGGATCTGCCAGGATCCCGCGGGATGGAGCTCCAGGGCCAGATCCAGCTTTGGATTCACAGCCAGGTCCAGGAGCTGCTCCGGGTCAAGGGCCAGACCCAGAGCCAGATCCAGATCCAGATCCTCATCCAGATCCAGATCCAGATCCAGATCCAGATCCAGATCCAGATCCAGGTCAAGGTCCAGGACCAGGACCAGGACCAGGACCAGACCCAGACCCAGATGCAGATCCTGATCCAGATCCAGACCCAGAGCCAGATCCGGAACCAGATCCAGATCCAGATCCAGACCCAGACCCAGAGCCAGATCCAGATCCGGATCCGGATCCAGACCCAGAGCCAGACCCAGATCCTGATCCTGATCCTGATCCTGATCCAGATCCAGATCCAGATCCAGATCCAGATCCAGATCCAGGCCCAGAGCCAGACCCAGACAAAGATCCTGATCCTGATCCTGATCCTGATCCTGATCCAGATCCAGATCCAGGCCCAGATCCTGACCCTGATCCTGATCCTGATCCTGATCCTGATCCTGATCCTGATCCTGATCCTGATCCAGATCCAGACCCAGATCCTGACCCAGACCCAGATCCTGACCCAGACCCAGACCCAGACCTGGACCCAGACCCAGATCCGGACCCAGACCCAGACCCAGACCCAGATCCTGACCCAGACCCAGATCCTGACCCAGACCCAGACCCAGACCTGGACCCAGACCCAGATCCGGACCCAGACCCAAATCCAGACCCAGACCCAGATCCAGACCCAGATCCAGGTCAAGGACCAGGACCAGACCGAGACCCAGATGCAGATGCAGATCCTGATCCAGGTCAAGGTCCAGATCCAGATCCAGATCCAGAACCAGATCCAATCCCAGACTCAGACCCAGACCCAGACCCAGACTGAGATCCAGATCCAGAACCAGATGCAGACCCAGACCCAGACCCAGATCCAGGTCAAGGTCCAGGACCAGGACCAGGACCAGGACCAGAACCAGACCCAGACGCAGACCCAGACCCAGATCCAGATCCAGATCCAGATCCGGATCCAGACCCAGATCCTGATGCAGATCCAGATCCAGACCCAGACCCAAATCTAGATCCAGAACCAGACCTAAACCCAGACCCAGAATCAGATACAGATCCAAAACCAGAACCAGACCCAGACCCAAGTCTAGATCCAGAACCAGACCTAAACCCAGACCCAGATCCAGATCCAGACCCATATTCAGATCCTGTATCCAGACCCAGATCCAGGTCAAGGTCCAGATCCAGACCTAAAACCCGGCCCAGACCCAGACCCAGCCCCAGATCCAGACCCAGATCCAGACCAGACCCACACCCAGACCCAGACCCAGACCCAGACCCAGACCCAGACCCAGACCCAGATCCAGACCCAGACCCAGACCCAGACCCAGACCCAGACCCAGACCCAGACCAGATCCAGGTCAAGGTCCAGGACCAGAACCAGACCTAAACCCAGACCCAGAACCAGATCCAGACCCGGACCCAGACCAGACCCAGACCCAGACCCAGACCCAGACCCAGACCCAGACCCAGACCCGGACCCGGACCCAGACCCAGATCCAGGTCAATGTCTAGGACCAGGACCAGGACCAGGCCCAGACCCAGACCCAAATCCAGACCCAGACCCAAATCCAGATCCAGATCCAGATCCTGGATCCAGACCCAGACCCAGACCCAAATCAAGATCCAGAACCAGACCCAGATCCAGACCCAGACCCAGACCCGGACCTAGATCCAGACCCAGACCCAGACCCGGACCCGGACCCAGACCCAGATCCTGGATCCAGACTGAGATCCAGGTCAAGGTCCAGACCCAGACCCAGACCCAGACCAGACCCAGACCCAGCCCCAGATCCAGGTCCAAGTCCAGGTCCAGCTCCAGCCCCAGCTCCAGCCCCAGCTCCAGACCCATCCCTGGAATCTGCTCCAAGGATTCTGAGGCACCACGACCTTGCTGGGCCTGCTTTGGGTTCAAACTCTGGGATTTTGGGACCTCTCCTTCCCAACCCCAGCCCGTGAGGCAGAGCCAGCCTGGAAATCCGATCTCCGCCGTGTTCCTTCTCCCTCCAGCTGGAATTTCTGGCGCTGACGGACTCGTGGCTGTTTTCCTTGGGTGTAACAACCCTCGGAATTACATCGGATGTTTTCCTTGGTTTTCCCTTTTTTTTCCCCATTTTCTTTTCTATTCAAGCACAAAAACAAACCAATCCCGGCAGGGTTCACCTTCAGGAAGAGTTGTGGGAAGAGCCACGATTTTTAGGTCTTTCCTGGAGATTTTCGGGATGCAGGCACGACCCTTTGGATCTGAGAAGGTCAGGTTTGGGTGTATCCCTGGAAAATCTCCTTTTCAATGAAAATTTCACCCTCCTGCCGAAATCCAGGTCCTGATCCCTCCTGGGGATGGACACAGCAGGGAAAGGTTGGAGCTGGGGATAGTCCCCGCTGGAGCTGGGGCTGGGATTCCTCCTGGAGGATTTTTTTTTCCTCATAAACCGGAGGAAAATCGTGTCTAAGAAAATCGGATCCGAGCCCGGCTCAGGCTCGGGATCAGTCCCTGCTGGATTGGGATCATCCCCAGGATCGGGATCAGTCCCTGCAGGATCGGGATCATCCCCAAGCTCGGGATGAATCCTGCTGGATCAGGATCATCCCCAGATCCTGCTGGATCGGGATCATCCCCAGTCCCTGCTGGATCGGGATCATCCCCAGGCCCTGCTGGATCAGGATCAGTCCCTGCTGGATCGGGATCAGTCCCTGCTGGATTGGGATCAGTCCCTGCTGGATCGGGATCAGTCCCTGCTGGATCGGGATCAGTCCCTGCTGGATCGGGATCATCCCCAGGTCCTGCTGGATTGGGATCAGTCCCTGCTGGATCGGGATCAGTCCCTGCTGGATCGGGATCAGTCCCTGCTGGATCGGGATCATCCCCAGGTCCTGCTGGATCGGGATCATCCCCAGGTCCTGCTGGATCGGGATCAGTCCCTGCTGGATCAGGATCATCCCCAGGCCCTTCTGGATCGGGATCATCCCCAGGATCGGGATCATCCCCAGGCCCTGCTGGATCGGGATCATCCCCAGGCCCTGCTGGATCGGGATCATCCCCAGGCTCGGGATCAGTCCCTGTTGGATTGGGATCATCCCCAGGCCCTGCTGGATTGGGATCAGTCCCTGTTGGATCGGGATCAGTCCTGCTGGATCGGGATCAGTCCCTGTTGGATCGGGATCAGTCCCTGCTGGATCGGGATCAGTCCTGCTGGATCGGGATCATCCCCAGGCCCTGCTGGATCGGGATCATCCCCAGGCTCGGGATGAATCCTGCTGGATCAGGATCATCCCCAGTCCCTGCTGGATCAGGATCAGTCCCTGCTGGATCAGGATCATCCCCAGGTCCTGCTGGATTGGGATCATTCCCAGGATCGGAATCAGTCCCTGCTGGATCGGGATCAGTCCCTGCTGGATCGGGATCATCCCCAGGCTCGGGATGAATCCTGCTGGATCAGGATCATCCCCAGGCTCAGGATCATCCCCAGTCCCTGCTGGATCGGGATCATCCCCAGGCACCAGCAGATCCCGTCTCCACCCTGGAGCCACATCTGGATCCAGGTCCAGGTCCCGCCTGGGGTCCAGGGCTGGATGCAGATCCAGGTCCAGGTCCAAGTCCAGTTTCAGGTCCAGGACCAGGCCCAGGATCAGATCCACAACTGGATCCAGGTCATCAGCCGGGACCAGGAGCAGGTCCAGGTCCAGGTGCAGGAGCAGATCCAGATCCAGGACTAAGTCCAGGAGCAGGTCCAGGTCCAGATCCAGGTCCAGGTCCAGGAGCAGATCCAGGTCCAGGTCCAGATCCAGGTCCTGGTCCAGGCCCAGGAGCAGATACAGATCTGGGTCCAGGAGCAGATCCAGATCCAGGTCCAGGTCCAAATCCAGGTCTAGGTCCAGGAGCAGAGCCAGGTCCAGATCCAGGACTAAGTCCAGGAGCAGATTTAGATCTAGGTCCAGGATCAGGTCCAGGCTTAGGAGCAGATCCAGATCCTGGTCCAGGAGCAGGTCCAGATCCAGGTCCAGGTCCAGATCCAGGTCTAGGTCCAGGAGCAGATCCAGATCCAGGTCCAGGCCCAGGAGCAGATCCAGATCCAGGTCCAAGAGCAGATCCAGATCCAGGTCCAGGTCCAGGTCCAGATCCAGGTCTAGGTCCAGGAGCAGATCCAGGCCCAGGTCCAGATCCAGGTCCAAGTCCAGATCCTGGTCCAGGTCATGGAGCAGATCCAGGTCCAGGTCCAGGTCCAGATCCCAGTCCAGATCCAGATCCAGGAGCAGATCCAGATCCAGGTCCAGGTCCAGGTCCAGGTGGGTGGTGGTGACCTCCAGGGTTCGGATGTGTCCCCTGTGAAGGAATTCCCGAACTCCAGCCCCAGTTCCCACCTCCAGAGGTGTGGAACGCTCAGGGGGGGGTTCCATCCATGCCCTTCTCCAATACACCTCCAACCCCTTGGACAGCATGGATCCTGGAGACCTGGTGCTCCTGGAGACCTGGGGATCCATCCCGATTCCTTGGGATGGATCCTGCTTTTCCTTCTGGATCTCCTGCTTTGGATGCCAGTTCACCTCCATCCCAACCTAAGAATTCCCAGGAATTCCATAACACCCGGATAAATCCATCCTGGATCCCAGGGAAGCACGGGAGAAGGACGGGTGGGAATCTCGGGGGTCTCCCGGTTCTCCCGGGTCCATCAGGATCGCGGAATTCTGCCGGAATTGGCTCATGGTGTATCCCGGTTCTCATTCCAGGACTTCCCGGGGAGCGGGGACCGCCCGGCCCGCGCGGATTGAAGGGGGACCCCGGAGAGCTCGGCCCTCGTGGGCCCGCGGGGACACGCGGAGCCAAAGGTACGGGCACGGATCCCGGTGGGATTTGGGAACCTGGAAACCCAACAGGGATTTGGGAACATGGAAACCCGGCAGGGATTTGGGAACATGGAAACCCGGCAGGGATTTGGGAATGTGGAAACCCAGCAGGGATTTGGGAACATGGAAACCCGGCAGGGATTTGGGAATGTGGAAACCCAGCAGGGATTTGGGAATGTGGAAACCCGGCAGGGATTTGGGAACGTGGAAACCCGGCAGGGATTTGGGAACATGGAAACCCGGCAGGGATTTGGGAACATGGAAACCCGGCAGGGATTTGGGAACCTGGAAACCTGACAGGGATTTGGGAACATGGAAACCCAGCAGGGATTTGGGAATTTGGAAACCCAACAGGGATTTGGGAACATGGAAACCCGGCAGGGATTTGGGAACATGGAAACCCGGCAGGGATTTGGGAACATGGAAACCCAATAGGGATTTGGGAACATGGAAACCCAGCAGGGATTTGGGAACATGGAAACCCAGCAGGGATTTGGGAATTTAAAAACCCGGCAGGGATTTGGGAACTCGGAACCCGGCAGGGATTTGGGAACATGGAAACCCAATAGGGATTTGGGAACTGGGAAACCCAATAGGGATTTGGGAACCTGGAAACCCAATAAGGATTTGGGAACATGGAAACCCAGGAGGGATTTGGGAACATGGAAACCCAATAGGGATTTGGGAACATGGAAACCCGGCAGGGATTTGGGAACATGGAAACCCAGGAGGGATTTGGGAACATGGAAACCCAATAAGGATTTGGGAACATGGAAACCCAGGAGGGATTTGGGAACATGGAAACCCAGCAGGGATTTGGGAACATGGAAACCCAGCAGGGATTTGGGAATGTGGAAACCCAGCAGGGATTTGGGAACTCGGAAACCTGATGGGATTTGGGAACATGGAAACCCGGCAGGGATTTGGGAACATGGAAACCCGGCAGGGATTTGGGAACATGGAAACCCGGCAGGGATTTGGGAACATGGAAACCCGGCAGGGATTTGGGAACATGGAAACCCGGCAGGGATTTGGGAACATGGAAACCCGGCAGGGATTTGGGAACATGGAAACCCGGCAGGGATTTGGGAACATGGAAACCCGGCAGGGATTTGGGAACTCGGAAACCCGGCAGGGATTTGGGAACCAGGAAACCCGGCAGGGATTTGGGAACATGGAAACCCGGCAGGGATTTGGGAATGTGGAAACCCAACAGGGATTTGGGAACCCGGAAACCCATCAGGGATTTGGGAATGTGGAAACCCGGCAGGGATTTGGGAACATGGAAACCCAATAGGGATTTGGGAACCCAGAAACCCATCAGGGATTTGGGAATGTGGAAACCCAACAGGGATTTGGGAACATGGAAACCCGGCAGGGATTTGGGAACTCAGAAACCCAGCAGGGATTTGGGAACCCGGAAACCCAATAGGGATTTGGGAACATGGAAACCCGGCAGGGATTTGGGAATGAGGAAACCCGGCAGGGATTTGGGACTGGGAAACCTGGCAGGGATTTGGGAATGTGGAAACCCGGCAGGGATTTGGGAACATGGAAACCCGGCAGGGATTTGGGAACTCGGAAACCCAATAGGGATTTGGGAACATGGAAACCCGGCAGGGATTTGGGAATGTGGAAAACTCTCAGGGATTTGGGAACTCGGAAACCCGGCAGGGATTTGGGAACTCGGAAACCCCGCAAGGATTTGGGAACATGGAAACCCGGCAGGGATTTGGGAACCAGGAAACCCGGCAGGGATTTGGGAACTCGGAAAACCGGCAGGGATTTGGGAATGTGGAAACCCGGCAGGGATTTGGGAACATGGAAATCCAGCAGGGATTTGGGAATGTGGAAACCCGGCAGGGATTTGGGAACATGGAAACCCGGCAGGGATTTGGGAACTTGGATCATTTCATATCCCACCTTTTCCTTCCTCCCGGATTTTGGGGTGTTGTTTGTTGTTCCTGGGGCCAGGCTTGGCCAAGCCGGGATCAGCAAATCCAAGTCTCCAGTCCCGCTGGAAAACCGGGAATGAGGGAGGAGGAGGAACCGGCATTCCCGGGATTTTGAGTCATTCCCGGGATATCGAATCATTCCCGGGATATCGAGTCATTCCCAGGATATCGACTCATTCCCGGGATATCAAATCCTTCCTCAGGAATTTGGGAATGCCCATCCCTGACCCCAAATCGGGAATTCCGCCCCGAAATCGGGAATTCCGCCCCGAAATCCCGGTTTTCGCTGCCCTCGATGGGATCTCCACTCAGGAATTCCGGGAGCTCCCGGAATTCCTTCATCTTCTCTCCGCCTTCCCGGAGTTGTTTTGGGATCTCCCGTTTTTTGGGATGGGAATTCCCAACAATTCCGTCTCTTTTCCCGGCAGGCGAGCGCGGCCCCAAGGGGGACAAGGGGGACCCAGGAGCCGCTGGTGGCACCGGTGAGTTCCCGGATCCCGGCGGGAATTTTTTGGGAATTGGGAGCTGGAAAACCATCCCGGGGTTCTCCTGCCCGGAGCCGGGGAAGGCGGGAGGGAGAACGGGAATGGGAACGGGAAAGGATTGGGAATGGCGGAGGGAAAAGGTCGGGAATGCCGGAGGTGTCCATGAGGCCTTCTGCATCCCGGGGATGTCGCTCCTTGGGGACATTCCAATGGAATTCCTGGGAAATTCCAGCTTGGGGACATTCCACAGGGAATTCCAGGGATGTCCTTCCTTGGGGACATTCCCCATGGAATTCCAGGGACGTCTCTCCTTGGGGACATTCCAAAGGAAATTCCAGGGATGTCCTTCCTTGGGGACATTCCACAGGGAATTCCAGGGATGTCCTTCCTTAGGGACATTCCCCATGGAATTCCAGGGATGTCGCTCCTTGGGGACATTCCAAAGGGAATTCCTGGGAAATTCCAGCTTGGGGACATTCCCCATGGAATTCCAGGGATGTCCCTCCTTGGTGACATTCCAAAGGGAATTCCAGGGCTTGGGGATATTCCACAGGGAATTCCTGGGATGTTGCTCCTTGGGGACATTCCCCACCCCGGTGTCCCCATGGATGTTCTCCCCATGGCTGATATCCCCATGGATGACATCTCCATGGATTTTCTCCCCATGGATGTTCTCCCCACGGATGTTCTCCCCATTATGTTCTCCCCATGGATGTTCTCCCCATGGCTGATATCCCCATGGATGTTCTCCCCACGGATGTTCTCCCCATGGATGTTCTCCCCATGGATGTTCTCCCCATGGCTGATATCTCCATGGATGTTCTCCCCATGGATGTTCTCCCCATGGCTGCTGTCCCCATGATGTTCTTCCCATGTTGTTCTCCCCATGGATGACATCTCCATGGATGTTCTCCTTATGGATTTTCTCCCCATGGCTGTTCTCCCCATGGATGTTCTCCCCACGGATTTTCTCCCCATGGATGTTCTCCCCATGGATGATATCCCCATGGACTTTCTCCCCACGGATGTTCTCCCCACGGCCACTGTCCCAATGATGTTCTCCCCATGGATGTTCTTATGGATTTTCTCCCCATGGATGTTCCCATTATGGATTTTCTCCCCACGGATGTCCTCCCCATGGCTGTTCTCCCCACGGGTGTCCTCCCCATGGCTGATATCTCCATGGATGACATCTCCATGGATGTTCTCCCCATGGATGTTCTTATGGATGTTCTCCCCATGGGTGTTCTCCCCATGGATGTTCTCCTTATGGGTGTTCTCCCCATGGATGTTCTCCCCATGGATTTTCTCCCCACGGATTTCCACCCCACTGCCGCTTTCCCCATGGATGTTCTCCCCATGGATGTTCTTATGGAATTTCTCCCCATGGATGTTCCCATTATGGATTTTCTCCCCATGGGTTTTCTCCCCATGGATGTTCTCCCCATGGCTGATATCCCCATGGATGTTCTCCCCACGGGTGTTCTCCCCACGGATGTTCTCCCCATGGCTGATATCTCCATGGATTTTCTCCCCATGGATTTTCTCCCCACGGATCTTCTCCGCACGGATGTTCTCCCCATGGATGTTCTCCCCATGGCTGATATCTCAATTGATGTTCTCCTTATGGGTGTTCTCCCCATGGATGACATCTCCATGGATGTTCTCCCCATGGATGTTCTCCCCATGGATGTTCTCCCCATGGATGTTCTTATGGAATTTCTCCCCATGGATGTTCCCATTATGGATTTTCTCCCCACGGGTTTTCTCCCCATGGATGTTCTCCCCATGGCTGATATCCCCATGGATGTTCTCCCCACGGGTGTTCTCCCCATGGATGTTCTCCCCATGGCTGATATCTCCATGGATTTTCTCCCCATGGATTTTCTCCCCACGGATCTTCTCCGCACGGATGTTCTCCCCATGGATGTTCTCCCCATGGCTGATATCTCAATTGATGTTCTCCTTATGGGTGTTCTCCCCATGGATGACATCTCCATGGATGTTCTCCCCATGGATGTTCTCCCCATGGATGTTCTCCCCATGGATGTTCTCCCCATGGCTGATATCTCCATGGACTTTCTCCCCACGGATGTTCTCCCCACAGCCACTGTCCCAATGATGTTCTCCCCATGGATGTTCCCATTATGGATTTTCTCCTTATGGATGTTCTCCCCATGGATGTTCTCCCCACGGATGTTCTCCCCATGGATTGTCCCCCCGTGTCCATCAGGCGCGGTGTCGGTACCATCGGAGGGCGCGCTGCGGCTGGTGAACGGCTCGGGGCCGCACGAGGGGCGCCTGGAGATCTTCCACGCGCGGCGCTGGGGCTCGGTGTGCGACGACGGCTGGGACGGGCGCGACGGCGACGTGGCGTGCCGCGCCCTCGGCTTCCCCGGCGCCGCCGACGTCTTCCGCATGGCGCGCTTCGGACAGGGTGCGGGACGCTGACGCGGGAACGGGAACGGGAACGGGAGCGGGGTGGGGTTGGGGTTGGGGTTTGGGATGGGATTGGGATTGGGGTTGGAATGGGATCAGGAAAGGGATTGGGATGATAATGGGATTGGGGTTGGGGTTGGGGTTGGGGTGGGATTGGGATGGGATTGGGATTGGGGTTGGGGTTGGGATGGGGAAAGGGATTGGGGTTGCAATGGGATCAGGAAAGGGATTGGGATTGGGTTGGGATTGGGATGGGATTGGGGTTGGGAATGGGGTTGGGATTGGGATTGGGGTTCGGATGGGGTCAGGAAAGGGATTGGGATGGGATTGAGGTCAAAAAAGGGATTGGGATTGGGGTCAAGAAGGGGACTGGGATTGGGTTGGGATTGGGATGCGATTGGGATTGGGTTGGGATTGGGATTGCGTTTGGGATTGGGTTCGGATTGGGATTGGGGTCGGGATGGGATTGGGATGGGATTTGGGTTGGGGTTGGGACTGGGGAAAGGGATTGGGATTGGGTTCGGATGGTGGTGGGATTGGGTTTGGGACTGGGATTGGGATTGGGGTTGGGGTTGGGATTGGGGCTGGGGTTGGGATGGGGTTGGGATTGGGATTTGGGTTGGGGTTGGGATAGGGGTTGGGGTTGGGATGGGGTTGGGATTGGGATTGGGATTGGGGTGGGATTGGGTTTGGGATGGGATTGGGATTGGGATGGGATTGGGTTGGGAAAGGGATTGGGGTGGGATTGGGTTTGGGATGGGATTGGGATTAGGGTCGGGATGGGATTGGGATTAGGATAGGGGTTGGGATTGGTTGGATTGGGATTGGGGTTGGGGTTGGGTTGGGGTTGGGTTGGGGTTGGGATGGGATTGGGAAAGGGATTGGGGTTGGGGTTGGGATTGGCATTGGGGTTGGGGTTGGGTTGGGGTTGGGTTGGGGTTGGGATGGGATTGGGAAAGGGATTGGGGTTGGGGTTGGGATTGGCATTGGGGTTGGGGTTGGGATGGGATTGGGGTCAGGATTGGGATGGAATTGGGATTGCGATTGGGATTGGGGTCGGGATGGGATTGGGATTGAGATTAGTCTTTGGATGGAATTGGGATTGCAATTTGGATTAGGATTGGGATGGTATTGAGGTTGGAATGGGATTGGTATTGGGATGGGATTGGTATTAGAATGGCATTTCATTGGGATGGGATTGGGATTAGGATTGGGGTTGGGATGGGATTGGGATTGGGGTCAGAATGGGATTCGGATGGGATTGGGATTGGGATTGGGATGGGGATTGGGGTTGGGATGGGGAAAGGCATTGGGATTCTGATGGGATTGAGGTTGGGATGGGATTGGGATTCAGATTGGGATTGGATTTGGATTGGGATCAGGATTGGGAGTGGGATTGAGATGGGATCAGGATGGGATCGGGTTGAGATTAGGATTGGGTTGGGAACGGAATCAGGGTCAGGATTGGGATTGGGATGGGATTTGGACTGGGATTGGGATGGGATTGGCATGGGACTGGGATTGGGATCAGGAACGGGATTGGGATGGGATTGGGTTAGTTCCAGGATTGGGATCAGGACCGGTATCTGGATTAGGATGGGATTGGGATGGGATTCAGATTGGGATTGGGATGGAGATTGGGATTGGGAACAGGATGCTATTGACATTGACATTGGGATTGGGATTGGGATTGGAATTGGGATTGGGATGAGATTGGGATTGTGTTTGGGATTGGGATTTGGACTGGGATTTGGGGAGGGATGAGATTGGGGTTGGGGTTAGGGTTGGGATTGGGGTTGGGGTTGGGATGGGGAAAGGGATTGGGATGGGGATTGGGTTTGGGACTGGGATTGGGATTGTGGTTGGGACTCGGGTTGGGATTGGGGTTGGGGTCAGGAAAGGGATTGGGATTGGGGTCAGGAAGGGGACTGGGACTGGGTTGGGATTGGGATGGGATTGGGATTGGGGTCGGGATGGGATTGGGATTGAGATGCTGAAAGGGACTGGGATTGGGATTTGGGTCAGGAAAGGGATTGGGTTGGGATTGGGATTGGGATTGGGATTGGGATTGGGATTGGGATTGGGATTGAGGTTGGGATGTGATTGGGATTGGGTTTGGGACTGGGGTTGGGATTGGGATGGGGAAAGGGATTGGGTTTGGGACGGGGTCAGAAAAGGGATTGGGATAGGGTTGGGATGGGATTGGGATTGGGGTCGGGATGGGATTGGGTTTGGGATGGGGAAAGGGATTGGGATGGGATTGGGATTGGGATCTGGGTTGGGTTGGGAAAGGGATTGGGATAGGAATGGTGTCACGAAAGGGATCGGGATTGGGATGGTATTGGTATTGGATCCCGTTGGATCCCGACTCCGGCGGTGTCCCGCAGGCTCGGGGCCCATCTGGATGGACGACGTCTCCTGCGCCGGCACTGAGGCGTCGCTGCCGCTCTGCCCCTTCTCGGGATGGGGCCGAACCAACTGCGGCCACGCCGAGGACGCCGCCGTGCGCTGCCAAAAATGGGACTGACCCCAAAAAACACAGGGACCCCAAAAACCGGAGTGACCCCGAAAACCGGAGTGACCCCAAAAACTGGGAGTGACCCTGAAAACTGGACTGACCCCAAAAACCGCAGTGACCCCAAAAAAACTGGGCTGACCCCGAGAAAATGGGACTGACCCCAAAAACCACAGGGACCCCGAAACCGGAGTGACCCCAAAAACCGCAGTGACCCCAAAAACCGGAACTGACCCCAAAAACGCTGGAGTGACCCCAAAAACCGGACTGACCCCGAAAACTGGACTGACCCCAAAACTGGGACTGACCCCAAAAACGCCAGAGTGACCCTGAAGAAACCAGACTGACCCCAAAAACCAGACTGACCCCTAAAAAAAGGGACTTATCCCAAAAACCTGACCCCAAAAACCAGGAGTGACCCCGAAAACTGGACGGACCCCAAAAACTGGACTGACCCCGAAACTGGAATGACCCCAAAAACCAGACTGACCCCAAAAACTGGACTGACCCCAAAAACCGGAGTGACCCTGACAAAATGGGACTGACCCCAAAAACCGGACTGACCCCAAAAACGGGACTGACCCCGAAACTGGAACGACCCCAAAAACTGGACTGACCCAAAAAACCAGACTGACCCTGAAAAAATGGGACTGACCCCAGAAACGCCGGAGTGACCCCGAGAAAACCAGACTGATCCCGAATAAATGGGACTGACCCCAAAAACTGGACTGACCCCCAAAAAACGGGACTGACCCCAAGAAACGGGACTGACCCCAATAAACCGGACTGACCCAAAAAAACGGGACTGACCCAAAAAACCGGAGTGACCCCGAAAAAACGGGACTGACCCCAAAAACGGGACTGACCTCAAAAACCAGACTGACCCTGAATAAATGGGACTGAACCCAAAAAACCAAACTAACCCCGAAAAACCGGACTGACCCCAAAAAATTGGGACTGACCCCAAAAATGCCAGAGTGACCCTGAAAAAACGGGACTGACCCCAAAAATGGGACTGACCCCAAAAAACCGGACTGACCCCGAAAACGGGACTGACCCCAAAAAAATGGGACTGACCCCAAAAAGCCGGACTGACCCCAAAAACTGGACTGACCCTGAAAAAACCGAACTGACCCCGAAAACCGGAGTGACCCCCAAAAACCGGACTGAACCCGACAAAATGGGACTGACCCCAAAAACCGGACAGACCCCAAAAACGGGACTGACCCCAAAAACCAGAGTGACCCCGAAAAACGGGACTGACCCCAATAAACTGGACTGACCCTTAAAAAACCGAACTGACCCCGAAAATCAGACTGACCCCAAAACACTGGACAGAACCCGACAAAATGGAACTGACCCCAAAAACCGGACTGACCCCAAAAACCGCAGCGACCCCAAAAAAACCGGGCTGACCCCGAAAAAATGGGACTGACCCCAAAAAAATGGGACTGACCCCAAAAACACCAGAGTGACCCCGAAGAAACCGGACTGACCGCAAAAAACGGGACAGACCCCAAAAACCAGACTGACCCCTAGAAAACGGGACTGACCCCAAAAACCGGACTGACCCCAAAAACGCTGGAGTGACCCCGAAGAAACCAGACTGACCCCAAAAACCGGACTGACCCCGAAAAACTGGACTGACCCCGAAGAAACCAGACTGACCCCAAAAACCGGACTGACCCCAAAAAACTGGACTGAACACAACAAAACTGGACTGACCCCAAAAACGGGACTGACCCCAAAAATGGGACTGACCCCAAAAACGCCAGAGTGACCCCGAAGAAACCAGACTGCCGCAAAAAACGGGACAGACCCCAAAAACGGGACTGACCCCAAAACTGGGACTGACCCCAAAAACACCGGAGTGACCCCGAAAAACTGGACTGACCCCAAAAACCGGACTGACCCTGAAACTGGAATGACCCCAAAAACCAGACTGACCCTCAAAGCGGGACTGACCCCAAAAACTGGACTGACCCCAAAAAAATGAGACTGACGCCCAAAACCGGACTGACCCCAAAAAACTGGACTGACCCTGAAAAAACCGAACTGACCCCAAAAAATCGGACTGACCCCAAAAATGGGACTGACCCCAAAAAACGGAGTGACTCCGAAAAAATGGGACTGACCCCAAAAACGGGACTGACCCCAAAAACCAGACTGACCCTGAAAACTGGACTGACCCCCAAAACTGGAATGACCCTAAAAAAATATGGGACTGACCGCAAAAAACAGGACAAACCCCAAAAACCGGACTGACCCCAAAAACCGGAGTGACCCCAAAAAAACAGGACTGACCCCAAAAACCGGAGTGACCCCAAAACTGGGACCGACCCCAAAAACTGGACGGATCCCGAAAAAATGGAACTGACCCTGAAAGAGAAACACCAAATAAACCCCCAAACTCAGCCCAAATCCATCCCAAATCCACCCCAAACTGGAAACCCCAAATAAACTCCAAATCCACCCCAAATCCATCCCAAATCCATCCCAAATCCACCCCAAAGGCACTGACCCCCAAAACCGGACTGACCCCAAAGGAAACCCCAAATCCACCCCAAAGGGAAACCCCAAATCCATCTCAAATCCATCCCAAATCCATCCCAAAGAGAAACCCCAAATCCATCCCAAATCCACCCCAAAAGGAAACCCCAAATCCACCCCAAAGAGTTTATGGTGTTTATGGACTTTATGGGATTTATGTCATTTATAGGTTTTTAAAAGGTTTATGGGATTTATGGGGTTTTTGGGGTTTATGGGTTTTACGGGGTTTAATGTGCTTTAATGGGATTTATGAGGTTTTTATAAGGTTTTTGGGGTTTATGGGATTTATGGGGTCTATGGGATTTATGGGATTTATGGGTTTTTAAGGGGTTTATGGGATTTATGGGGTTTTAAAGGGATTTATGGGGTTTATGAGGTTTTTAAGGGGTTTATGTGTTTTTATGTGATTTATGGGTTGTTATGGAGGTTATGGGATTTATGGGTTTTTTGGGCGATTTATGGGGTTTTTATGGGGTTTATGGGGTTTTGGGGATTTATGTTTTTTTGGAGTTTATGGGATTTGTGGCTTTTTTGGGGATTTTGGGGGGTTTTGGCAGTTTCCGGCCTTTACGGGGTTCCAGTGACCCCACAGCGCCCCGACAACTTCTTGGGGCCTCCCGGAGCGCCCCAAATCCCCAAAATCCCCCCAAAATCCCCCCAAATCCCCCCAAAATTCCCCAAATCCCCCCAAAATCAGCCCAAAATCCCCCAAAATCCGCCTAAAATCCCCCAAAATCCGCACCAAATCCGCCCAAAATCCCCCAAATCCCCCAAAAAATCCCCCAAAATCCCCCAAAATCCCCCCAAAATTCCCCAAATCCCCCCAAAATCCGCCAAAAATCCCCCCAAATCCGCCTAAAATCCCCCAAAATCCGCCCCAAATCCGCCCAAAATCCCCGAAATCCCCCGAAATCCCCGAAATCCCCCCAAAATCCGCCCCAAAATCCCCCAAAATCCTCCCAAAATCCGCCAAAAATCCCCCCAAATCCCCCAAATCCGCCCAAAATTCCCCCAAATCCCCCAAATCCGCCCAAAATTCCCCAAAATCCCCCAAATCCCCCCAAAATCCCCCAAAATCCTCCCAAAATCCGCCCAAAATCCCCCAAAATCCACCAAAAATCCCCCAAAAATCCCCCAAATCCGCCCAAAATCCGCACAAAATCCACCAAAAATCCCCCCAAAATCCCCCAAATCCGCCCAAAATTCCCCCAAATCCCCCAAATCCCCCCAAAATCCCCCAAAATCCTCCCAAAATCCGCCCAAAATCCCCCAAAATCCCCCAAAAATCCCCCAAAATCCCCCAAATCCGCCCAAAATTCCCCAAAATCCCCCAAATCCCCCCAAAATCCCCCAAATCCTCCCAAAATCCGCCCAAATCCCCCCAAAATCCCCCACAGGCCACGCCCACCCCCGTTCTGGCCACGCCCACTTTGCGTTGGCCACGCCCCCACGGTGAGCGGGACGATTACGTCACCTCCAGCGCCTTTGGCCACGCCCACATCCCGCCCTCATTACCATATATGGCGATTGGCCACGCCCCCGGAAAGGGGCGGGGTCGGCGCGCGCGCGCGCGGGATTCGAACGCGGCGCCCGAAAACGGCCGGAAAAGGCGGGAAAAGGAACCCCAAATTCCCGGGAATTCCCACCGGGAAAAGGAGCCCGGGATTCCCTGGAAAAGTAGCCCGGAATCGGCAGCGGGATCCCGGAATTCCCCGGGATTCGCATCTGGAAGAGGATCCCGGAATTCCCGGGACCAGCGAGCCCCGGAGCGAGGTGGGGCCGGGGGCGCATCCTGGGAACCCCAAAATCCCGGGATCCCAAACCCCGGGATCGCAAACCCCGGGATCCCCCTATTCCCAAATTCCGGGATCCCCCCATTCCCAAACCCCGGGATCCCCCCATCCCCAAACCCCGGGATCCCCCTATTCCCAAATTCCGGGATCCCCCCATCCCCAAACCCCGGGATCCCAAATTCCGGGATCCCCCAATTCCCAAACCCCGGGATCCCAAACCCCGGGATCCCCCCATTCCCAAATTCCGGGATCTCCTTATTCCCAAATACCGGGATCCCCCCATTCCCAAATTCCGGGATCTCCTTATTCCCAAATACCGGGATCCCCCCATTCCCAAATTCCGGGATCCCCCCATTCCCAACCCCCAGGATGCCAAATCCCAGGATCCCCCCATTCCCGACCCCCGGGATCCCAAACCCCGGGATTCCCCCTATTCCCAAATCCCAGGATCCTCCCATTCCCAAACCCCAGGATTTCCCCAATTCCCAAATCCGGGATTTCCCCAAATTCCCAAATCTGGGACCCCCCAATTACGGAATCTGGGTCTCCCCAGTTTCCAAATCTGGGATTTCCCAGTTCCCAAATCTCGGCCCCCAGAAATCCCAAATCCGGGATTTCCCAGTTCCCAAATCCTGCCCCCCCCCCCCGCCCCCCCCAGTTCCCAAAATTTCCCCCAGTTCCCAAATCCTGGATTTCCCCAATTCCCAAATCCGGAATTCCCCAATTCCCAAATCTGGTACCTCCTCCAATTCCCAAATCCAACTCCCCCCACTTCCCAAAATTTCCCCTAATTCCCAAATCCTGGATTTCCCCAATTCCCAAATCCGGGGCCCCCCAATTCCCAAATCCAACTCCCCCTAATTCCCAAAGTTTCCCCCAATTCCCAAATCCAGGATTTCCCAGTTCCTAAATCCAGGCTCCCCCAATTCCCAAAGTTTCCCCCAATTCCCAAAATTTCCCCCAGTTCCCAAATCCAACTCTCCCCAATTCCCAAAATTTCCCCCAATTCCCAAATCCTCCCCCCAGTTCCATGGGGGTCCCTCCAGTTTCCCTGGTGCCCCACAGGATTGGGATCATCGGGATCGGGACTGAGATTGGGATCATCGGGACCGGGATTGGGACCAGGATTGGGATCAGGATCATCGGGACCGGAATCAGGACCGGGATTGGGATTGGGATCGGGATCGGGATCATCGGGATCGGGATCATCGGGATCATCGGGATCGGGATTGGGACCATGGACACCTTCCAGTCCCCGGCTCCCTCGTCCCGCCGGGACAGAGACGGTGAGAACGCCGGAATTCCCCCGGGATCGGGAATTCCCCCGGGATCGGGATGTTCCCAATGGGATCAGGATGGGCCCAATGGGATTGGGATGTTTGATCCCAAAATGATCCCAAGGGGATCAGGATGTTTGATCCCAAAATGTTCCTGATGGGATTGGTATGTTCCCAATAGGATTGAGAGGGGCCCAATGGGATCGGGATGTTCCCAATGGGATCAGGATGATCACAGAGGGATTGGGATGTTCCAAAAGGAATGGGATGATCCCAAAGGAATCTGGATGACCCCAAAGGGATGGGGATGACCCCAAAGGGATGGGGATGACCCCAAAGGGATGGGGATGATCCAGTTTCCAGTTCCTGTTCCTATTCCCCTTTTCCATCCCTGTTCCCCATCCCTGTTTCTTATTCCCATTCCCCATCTCCATTTCCCATCCCCATCCCCATTCCCAATTCCTGTTCCTATTTCCCATCCCTGTTCCCATTTCCCAACCCCATTCCCAATTCCTGTTCCCATTCCCATTTCCCACTCCCGTTCCCATCCCTGTTTCCCATTCCTCTCCCTGTTCCCATCCGCTTTCCCATTCCCATCCCCATTCCCAATTCCTGTTCCTATTTCCCATCCCCATTCCTGGTCCCATTCCCATTTCCCATTCCCATCCCTATTCCCCATTCCCAGTTCCCATTCCCATTTCCCAATCCCTGTTTCCCATTCTTGTTCCAATATCCCATTTCCATCCCAGTTCCCATCCCCATTACATCCCTGTTCCCATTTCCCGTTCCCATTTCCCAACCCCATTCCTAATTCCTGTTCACATTCCCATTTCCCATTCCCGTTCCCATTTCCCATTCCCATTTCTGTTCCCATCCCTGTTCCATTTCCCATTCCCCATTACCAATTCCTGTTCCCATTTCCCATCCCCGTTCCCATTTCCTGTCCCATTTCCCATTCCTGTTTCCCATTTCCCATTCCCCATCCCCATTCCCATCCCTGTTCCCATTTCACATCCTTCTTCCCATTTCCCGTCCCATTTCCTATTCCCATTCCTATCCCATTCCCATTTCCCATCCCCATTGCCATTTCCCATCCCCATTCCCAATTCCTGTTCCCATTTCCCATTCCCATTTCCCTTTTCCATCCCAATTCCCACCCCCATTCCCATCCCTGTTCCATTTCCCAATCCCCGTTTCCCATCCCTGTTCCCATTTCCCGTCCCATTTCCTATTCCCATTCCTATCCCATTCCCATTTCCCATCCCCATTCCCATTCCCATTTCCCATCCCCGTTCCCATTTCCCATCCCCATTCCCCAATTCCCATTCCCCATCCCCGTTCCCATTTCCCATCCCCTTTTCCAATTCCCGTTCCCATTTCCCATCTCCGTTCCCATCCCCCATTCCCAATTCCCGTTCCCATTTCCCATTCCCATTCCCAATTCCCATTTCCCATTCCCATTTCCCGTCCCCGTTCCCGTTCCCATCTCCTCGTGCCGCCGGAATTCCCCTCAGGAACTGGGGTGGATCTCCGGCATCTCCGTTTTTTCGGGAACAAACCCCCCCAGGCCTTTATGGGATTTCTGGGATTTATTTTCCCGCCCCGGGAACGGGGCTGGAATTTGGGAAAACACAGGGAGGGGCTGGAAGGAGCTTCCCAAAAAAATCTGCCTCAGGAACGGGCTCGGAGCATCCCGTGGGAATCCTGGGATATTCTGGGCCGGGAATTCCGCCAAGGATCCGGGATTTCAATCCCGGTGGGAATGGGGCCGCCGGGGCCGGGAATTCCGGGCGGGAATCGTTCCCCAAATCCAACTGGAACTTCCCCCGGAGGAGCAGCTCCGGGATTTCCCCGTCCCGGCGGGAATTCCCGATGGGATTTCCCGCGGGATCACCGGGAATTTCCCCCGCAGATCCCGGCCCCGCGTCCGTCACCATCCCGGCCTCTCCCTTCATGCGGAAGTTGGGATTCGGCACCGGAGTCAGCGTCTACCTGATGGAAAGGTCGGGAATGACTGTTCTTTTGGGATAACCCTGTCCCGGCTGGAATTCCGGGATTTGGGCTCTGTTCTTTTGGGATAGCCCTGTCCCGGCTGGAATTCCGGGATTTTGGGCTCTGTTATTTTGGGATAACCCTTTCCCGGCTGGAATTCCGGGATTTGGGCTCTATTCTGGGGAATTCTGGGATTTTGGGCTCCATTCCTGGGAATTCTGGGATTTGGGATCCGTTATTTTGGGATAGCCCTTTCCCGGCTGGAATTCTGGGATTTGGGCTCCGTTAATTTGGGATAACCCTTTCCCGGCTGGAATTCTGGGATTCTGGGCTCCATTCCTGGGAATTCTGGGATTTGGGATCCATTATTTTGGGATAACCCTGTCCTAGCTGGAATTCCAGGGATTTTGACTCCATTCCTGGGAATTCTGGTATTTTGGCCTCCATTATTTTGGGATAACTCTTTCCCAGCTGGAATTCCAGGGATTTGGACTCTATTCCTGGGAATTCTGGGATTTTGGGATCCGTTACTTTGGGATAACCCTTTCCTGGGTGGAATTCCAAGGATCTGGGCTCCATTCCTGAGAATTCCAGGATTTTGGGCTCCATTCCTGGGAATTCTGGGAATTGGGATCTGTTATTTTCAGACACCCTGTCCCAACTGGAATTCCTGGGATTTAGGCTCCATTATTTTGGGATAACCCTGTCCCGGCTGGAATTCCAGGATTTGGGCTCTGTTCCTGGGAATTCTGGGATTTGGGATCTGTTATTTTGGGATAAACCTGTCCTGGCTGGAATTCCAGGGATTTTGGAATCCATTATGTTGGGACATCCTTTCCCAGCTAGAATTGTGGGATTTTGGGCTCCATTCCTGGGAATTCCGAGATTTGGGCTCCGTTATTTTGGGATAACTCTGTCCCGGCTGGAATTCTGGGATTTGGGCTCCATTCTGGGGAATTCTGGGATTTTGGCCTCCATTATTTTGGGAATTCTGGGATTTGGGATCTGTTCTTTTGGGATAACCCTTTCCTGGCTGGAATTCCTGGGATTTGGGCTCCGTTCCTGGGAATTCCAGGATTTTGGGCTCCATAATTTTGGGATATCTCTGTCCCGGCTGGAATTCCGGGATTTGGGCTCCATTCCTGGGAATTCCGGGATTTTGGGCTCTGTTCTTTTGGGATAACCCTCTCCCGGCTGGAATTCTGGGATTTTGGGCTCCATTCCTGAGAATTCCAGGATTTGGGCTCTGTTCTTTTGGGATAACCCTCTCCCGGCTGGAATTCCGGGATTTGGGCTCTGTTCTGGGGAATTCTGGGATTTTGGGCTCCATTCCTGGGAATTCCGGGTTTTGGGATCTGTTCTTTTGGGATAACCCTTTCCCGGCTGGAATTCCAGGATTTGGGCTCCATTCCTGGGAATTCTGGGGTTTTGGGCTCTATTCCTGGGAATTCCTGGGATTTTGGGCTCCATTATTTTGGGATAACTCTGTCCCGGCTGGAATTACGGGATTTGGGCTCTATTCTGGGGAATTCTGGGATTTTGGGCTCGATTCCTGGGAATTCCGGGATTTTGGGCTCCATTATTTTGGGATAAACCTGTCCTGGCTGGAATTCCAGGGATTTTGGACTCCATTATTTTGGGACAACCTTTCCCAGCTGGAATTCCTGAGATTTGGGCTCCGTTCCTGGGAATTCTGGGATTTTGGGCTCCATTATTTTGGGATAACTCTTTCCCAGGTAGAATTCTGGGATTTGGGCTCCATTCCTGGGAATTCCGGGATTTGGGCTCCATAATTTTGGGACACGCTTTCCTGGCTGGAATTCCTGGGATTTTGGGCTCCATTATTTTGGGATAACTCTGTCCTGGCTGGAATTCCGGGATTTTGGGCTCGTGGCGGGAATTCCTTGGGAATGGGATCCATGGGATCCATGGGAAATGGATCCTTGGGAATGGGATCCATGGGAATGGGATCTTTGGGATCCATGGGAATGGGATCCATGGGATCCATGGGAATGGGATCCATGGGATCCATGGGAAGGGGATCCATGGGAATGGGATCCATGGGATCCTTGGGGATGGGATCCATGGGATCCTTGGGAATGAGATCCATGGGATCCCTGGGAATGGGGTCCATGGGAATGGGATCCATGGGAATGGGATCCTTGGGAATAGGATCCATGGGATAATTGGGAATGGGATCCCTGGGAATGCGATCCATGGGATCCTTGGGAATGGGATCCTTGGGAATGGGATCCATGGGATCCATGGGAATGGGATCCATGGGATCCATGGGAGCCTTGGGAATGGGATCCTTGGGAATGGGATCCATGGGATCCATGGGATCCATGGGAATGGGATCCTTGGGAATGGGATCCATGGGATCCTTGGGAATGGGATCCATGGGAACGGGATCCATGGGAACGGGATCCATGGGATCCATGGGAATGGGATCTGTGGGATCCTTGGGAATGGGATCCATGGGAATGGGATCCATGGGATCCATGGGAATGGGATCCATGGGAATGGGATCTGTGGGAATGGGATCCATGGGATCCATGGGAATGGGATCCATGGGAATGGGATCCATGGGAACGGGATCCATGGGAATGGGATCCCTGGGAATGGGATCTATGGGAATGGGATCCATGGGATCCATGGGAATGGGGTCCATGGGATCCCTGGGAATGGGATCCATGGGAATGGGATCCTTGGGAATGGGATCCATGGGAATGGGATCCGTGGGATCCCTGGGAATAGTATCCATGGGAATTCCCGGATTTCCCGTTCCCGGCAGGTCTCCGCGGGGCCATTCCCGCTCTCCGTGGGCCGTGAAGAAAATCAACTCCGGCTGCTCCCGGAGCCAACGGAGCCTCTTCCAGCGGCGGCTCCGGGATGAGGCGCGGATCCTGCGGAGCCTCCGGCACCCCAACATCGTGGGTACGGAAACGCCGGGAATGCAGCGGGAATGGGGCCGGATCCCTGGGAATGGGGCCGGATCCATGGGAATGGATCCATGGGAATGGGGATGGATCCGTGGGAATGGGGCTGGATCCGTGGGAATGGGGCCGGATCCGTGGGAATGGGGATGCATCAATGGGAATGGGATCCATGGGCATGGGGATGGATCAGTTGGGAATGGAGATGGATCCATTGGGAATGGGGATGGATCCCTGGGAATGGGGATGGATCCATTGGGAATGGGGCTGGATCCGTGGGAATGGGGCTGGATCAGTGGGAATGGGGATGGATCAATGGGGATGGATCAGTGGGAATGGGGATGGATCAGTGGGAATGGGGCTTTGGATCCATGGGAATGGGGCTGGATCCGTGGGAATGGGGCTGGATCCGTGGGAATGGGGCCGGATCTGTGGGAATGGGGATGGATCCGTGGGAATGGGGCCGGATCTGTGGGAATGGGGATGGATCAGTTTGGAATGGGGTTGGATCCGTGGGAATGGGGGTGGATCCATGGGAATGGGGATGAATCAGTTGGGAAAGGGATCCCATTCCCATGGATCCCATGGCTCTCATTCCCAAGGATCCCATTCCCAAGGATCCCATTCCCAGGGCTCCCATTCCCAAGGATCCCAGTGCTCCCATTCCCAAGGATCCCATGGCTCCCATTCCCAGTGCTCCCAGTGCTCCCATTCCCATGGATCCCATTCCCAGCGCTCCCATTCCCAAGGATCCCACAGATCCCATTCCCAAGGCTCCCAAGGCTCCCATTCCCAATGATCCCATGGCTCCCATTCCCATGGATCCCATTGCTCCCATTCCCACGGGTCCCATGGATCCCATTCCCAAGGCTCCCATTCCCACGGCTCCCAGGGATCCCATTCCCATGGATCCCATTCCCAAGGATCCCATGGCTCCCAGGGCTCCCATTCCCAGGGCTCCCAAGGCTCCCATTCCCAAGGATCCCATTCCCAAGGATCCCAAGGCTCCATTTCCCATGGATCCCATTCCCATGGCTCCCATCCCCAAGGATCCCATCCCCAAGGATCCCATTCCCATGGATCCCATTCCCAAGGCTCCCAGGGCTCCCATTCCCAGGGCTCCCATTCCCATGGATCCCACAGATCCCATTCCCAAGGCTCCCAGCGCTCCCATTCTTCTGCTCCCATTCCCAAGGCTCCCAAGGATCCCATGGCTCCCATTCCCAAGGCTCCTATGGCTCCCATTCCCATGGTTGCCACGGCTCCCATTCCCATGGATCCCATTCCCACGGTTCCCAGGGCTCCCATTCCCAAGGCTCCCGTTCCCAAGGATCCCAGCGCTCCTATTCCCATGGATCCCATGGATCCCATTCCCATGGCTCCCATGGATCCCATTCCCATGGCTCCCATTCCCAAGGATCCCATTCCCAAGGATCCCATTCCCAAGGCTCCCAGCATTCCCATTCCCAAGGATCCCATGGCTCCCATTCCCAAGGATCCCACGGCTCCCATTCCCATGGATCCCATTCCCACTGCTCCCAGGGCTCCCATTCCCAAGGCTCCCACAGCTCCCATTCCCAAGGATCCCAAGGCTCCCATTCCCAAGGATTCCACAGATCCCATTCCCACGGCTCCCAGCACTCCCATTCCCAGCGCTCCGAGCGTTCCCATTCCGGTTTTCCGGTGTATCCCGGCGCAGGGTACCGGGCGCTGGCGGCGGCTCCGGACGGGAGCCTGTGCCTGGCCATGGAATTCGGGGGGGAGCGATCCCTGCAGGATCGGATCGAGGAGCGCCGGGAGCGCGGCCTCGGAGCCTTCCCGGCCCCGACCGTCCTGCGCGTGGCGCTCTGCGTGGCCCGCGGCCTGCAGGTACGGAAAACATGGAATTCTGGGGGAAAATATGGGATTATGGGGGGAAAATATGGAATTCTGGGGGGAAAAACCATCCTGCGCGTGGCGCTCTGTGTGGCCCGGGGTCTGCAGGTACGGAAAACAAGGAATTCCGGGGAAAACATGGAATTCCGGGGAAAAAACATGGGATTCCGGGGCAAAAATATGGAATTCTGGGGAAAAACTGTCCTGCGCGTGGCGCTCCGCGTGGCCCGCAGCCTGCAGGTACAGAAACGCGGAATTCCGGGGGAAAACACGGGATTATGGGGGGAAACATGGAATTCTGGGGGGAAAATATGGAATTCTGGGGGAAAACATGGGATTATGGGGGAAAAAAAAAAATTATGGGGAAAAAATCATGGTATTCTGGGAAGAAAAACCGGATTCTGGGGAAAACACGGGATTCTGGGAAATAAACATGGGATTCTGGGAAAAAACATGGAATTCTGGGGGAAAAAAACACGGGATTCTGGGAAATAAACACGGGATTCCGGGGGAAAAACATGGAATTCTGGGGAAAAACCATCCTGCGCGTGGCGCTCTGCGTGGCCCGCGGCCTGCAGGTACCAAAAACATGAAATTCCAGGGGGAAACATGGGATTATGGGGAGAAAACTTGGATTCTGGGGGATTATGGGAGGAAAACACAGGATTATGGGGAAAAATATGGGATTCTGGGGAAAAACACAGGATTCTGGGAAAGAACACGGGATTCTGGGGAAAAAACACGGGATTTGGGGAAAAAACAGGGGATTCCGGGAAAAAAAACAGGATTCTGGGGGAAAAAAAACGTGATTCTGAGGAAAACATGGGATTCTGGGAAATAAACACGGCATTCCAGGGAAAAACATGGAATTCTGGGGGAAAACACGGGATTATTGGGGAAAAACACGGGATTCTGGGGAAAAACCATCCTGCGGGTGGTGCTCTGCGTGGCCCGGGGTCTGCAGGTACGGAAACGCGGAATTCCGGGGGAAACCTGGGGTTCTGCGGGGAAAACACGGGATTCTGGGGAAAACATGGAATTCTGGGGAAAAACACGGGATTCCAGGGAAAAAACATGGGATTTTGGGAAAAAAAATGGAATTATGGGGAAAAAGCCATGGGATTTTTGGAAGAAAAACCGGATTCTGGGGAAAACACGGGATTCTGGGAAATAAACGTGGGATTCTGGGGAAAAACACGGGATTCCGGGGAAAAACCATGGGATTATGGGTAAAAAAACCACTGAGTTCTGGGAAAAACACGGGATTCTGGGGGAGAACACAGGATTCTGGGGAAAAAAACATGGGATTCCAGGGAAAAATATGGAATTCTGGGGAAAAACCATCCTGCGCGTGGTGCTCTGCGTGGCCCGGGGCCTGCAGGTACGGAAACACGGAATTCCGGGGGAAAACACGGGATTATGGGGGAAACACGGGATTATGGGGAAAAAACACGGAATTCTTGGGAAAACACGGAATTCCGGGGAAAAACATGGAATTATGGGGGGAAAACATGGGATTATGGGGAAAAAAATGGGATTTTGGGGAAAAACACAGGATTCCAGGGAAAAAACATGGGATTTTGGAAAAAAACAGAATTATGGGGAAAAAAACATGGGATTCTGGGAAGAAAAAACGGATTCTGGGGAAAACACGGGATTCTGGGAAATAAATGTGGGATTCTGGGGAAAAAACACGGGATTTTGAGAAAAAACATGAGATTCCAGGAAAAAAAGCAGGATTCTGGGGAAAAAACGACGGGATTCTGGGGAAAAACATGGGATTATCGGAAAAAAACATGGGATTCTGGGAAAAAAACATTAAATTCTGGGAAAAAACACGGGATTCTGAGAAAAAACTTGGAATTCTGGGAAAAAGATGGGATTTGGGGAAAAAACACAAGATTCTGGGAAAAACCACGGGATTCCAGGGAAAAAACACAATTCTGGGAAAAAAAAAGGGATTTAGGGGAAAAACATGGGATTCTGGGAAAAACATTCCCGTCTTGTTCCTGGTGTTCCTGGCTCTCATTCCCGATGTTCATTCCCAACATTCCCGGCTCTCATTCCGGGTGTTCCTGGCACTCGTTCCGTTGTTCCTGGCTCTCATTCCCGATGTTCATTCCCGGTGTTCCTGGCTCTCATTCCTGGCATACCTGGCCCTCATTCCCAGTGTTCATTCCCAGCATTCCCAGCTCTTATTCCCATCTCTTGTTCTTGGCATTCCTGGGGTTCATTCCCAACGTTCCCAGCTCTCATTCCCAGCATTCCCATTTCTTTTTCCTGGTGTTCCCGGCGCTTGTTCCCGTTGCTCCCAGCTCTGACTCCTGGCGTTCCCGTTGTTCCCAGTGCTCGTTGCGGTGTTCCCGGCTCTTGTTCCCAGTGTTCCCGGCATTCCCGGTGCTCGTTCCGTCATTCCCATCTCTCATTCCCGGCATTCCTGGCTCTCATTCTCAACGTTCCCAGATCTCATTCCCAGCATTCCCATCTCTCGTTCCCGGTGTTCCTGGCTCTGACTCCCATCGTTCCCGGCTCCGGCTCCTGGCGTTCCCGCATTCCCGGTGCTCGTTCCGTCGTTCCCATCTCTCGTTCCCAGCATTCCTGGCTCTCATTCCCAACGTTCCCAGCTCCCATTCCCGGCATTCCCATCTCTCATTCCCGGTGCTCCCGGCTCTCATTCCCGTTGCTCCCAGCTCTGACTCCCGGCGTTCCCGTTGTTCCCAGTGCTCGTTCCGTCATTCCCGGCTCTCGTTCCCAGTGTTCCTGGCATTCCCGGCTCTCATTCCCGGCATTCCCATCTCTCATTCCTGGCATTCCTGGCTCTCATTCTCAACGTTCCCAGATCTCATTCCCAGCATTCCCATCTCTCGTTCCCGGTGCTCCCGGCTCTGACTCCCGTCGTTTCCGGCTCCTGGCGTTCCTGCATTCCCGGCTCTCGTTTCCGGCGTTCCCATTGCTCCCGGCTCCCGTTCCCGGCGTTCCATCATTCCCGTCATTCCCGGTGCTCGTTCCCGCATTCCGGGTCAGTACCTGCACACGGAGCAGCGGCTGCTGCACGGGGACATCAAGTCTCCCAACGTCGTTGTCCGCGGCGCCTTCGAGACCGTCAAGATCTGCGACGTCGGCGTCTCCCTGCGCCTGGACGAGAACCTGACCGGTGCGGCCCGGAACGCCGGGAATTCCGGGAATGGATGGGGGGGGCATCCCATGGATCCTGTTCCCGTTCCCATGGGTCCTGTCCCATTCCCATGGATCCTGTTCCCGTTCCCATGGGTCCCATTCCCATTCCCATGGGTCCCCATCCCATTCCCATGGATCCCTTTCTCATTCCCATGGATCCCATTCCCATTCCCATGGGTCCCCATCCCATTCCCATGGGTCCCCATCCCATTCCCATGGGTCCTATCCCATTCCCGTTGGGGTGGGATTCCCGATTCCTGGCGCAGTCTTGGCCCCTATTCCCATTCCCATCCCTATTCCTGTTTCCCATTTCCCAATTCCCATTTTCCCGATTCCCGGCGCAGTCTCGGTCCCCATTCCCAATTCCCACTCCCATTCCCATTCCCATCCCCATCCCCATCCCCATTTCCCGTTCCCATCCCCAATTCCCATTCCCATCCCCATCCCCCATTCCCACTCCCATTCCCAATTCCCATTCCCAATTCCCGTTCCCATTCCCATTCCCATTCCCATTCCCGATTCCCGGCGCAATCTCGGTTCCCATTCCCATTCCTGTTCCCATTCCCCATTCCAATTCCCATTCCCATTCCCGTTTCCCATCCCCATTCCCATCCCCATCCCCATTCCCATTCCCAATTCCCATTTTCCCGATTCCCGGCGCAGTCTCGGTTCCCGTTTCCCATTCCCATTCCCAATTCCCATTTTCCCGATTCCCGGCGCAGTGTCGGATCCGTGTGCGCGCTACGTGGGCTCGGAGCCGTGGCTGCCTCCGGAGGCGCTGGAGCCGGGCGGGATCGTCTCCGACCGCTCCGACGTCTTCGCGCTCGGCCTGACGCTCTGGGAGATGCTGGCGCTGGCCGTGCCCCACCTGCCCCCGCCCCCAGGTCCGGAATTCCGGGAATTCTGGGAATTCCCACCGGGAATCAGCCGGGAACCCCCCCGGGACGGGATCCGGCGGGAAATCCACCGGGAAAGGGGCTCCGGGATTTGGGAAAAGGGATGGAGGGATGGGAGTGGGAAATGGGGGTTGGGTGGGTGGGAGGAATTCCCAACCGGGATGGAATTCCCAAAAATTCCCTGGGAATGTCCAAGGGTGGGTTTGGATTTCCCGGCCGGGCTGGAATTCCCAAAGAATCTCTGGGAATGTCCAAGGGTGGGTTTGGATTTCCTGGCCGGGCTGGAATTCCCAAAGATTCCCTGGGAATGTCCAAGGGTGGGTTTGGATTTCCCAACCGGGCTGGAATTCCCAAAGATTCCCCGGGAATGTCCAAGGGTGGGTTTGGATTTCCTGTCTGGGCTGGAATTCCCAAAGAATCTCTGGGAATGTCCAAGGGTGGGTTTGGATTTCCCAGCCAGGCTGGAATTCCCAGAGAATCTCTGGGAATGTCCAATTATGGATTTGGATTTTCCAGCCTGGCTGGAATTCCCAGAAAATCCCCGGGAATGTCCAAGGGTGGGTTTGGATTTCCTGCCTGGGCTGGAATTCCCAGAGAATCCCTGGGAATGTCCCAGGAAAGGTCGGGATCACCCTGGGAACATCGGGAAGCACCGGGCCGGGATCGGGGCCGGCATTCCCGGCCGCCATTCCAGAGGGTCGGGATCTTGGGCTGTTGGGATCTTGGAAATTTGGGAATTTGGGGATTTTGGGATGTTGGAATCTTCAGATTTGGGACTTTGGGATCTTGGTATTCGGGATTTTGGGAACTTGGGATCTTGGAAGCTTGGAAATTTGGGATCTTAGAAAACTTGGAATTTGGGGATTTTGGGGATTTGGGATCTTGGGATATTGGGACTTTGGGATCTTGGAAACTTGGGAATTTGGGATCTTAGAGAACTTGGATTTTGGGGATTTGGGATCTTGGGACTTTAGAATCTTGGGATTTTGGAATCTTGGAATCTTTGGATTTGGGGAATTTGGGATTTTGGGATCTTGGGAAGGAATTCCTGGCTGGGAGAGTGGGGAGGGGCTGGGCTGGAATTCCCAGCGGATCCCAGGGAACATCGGGAAGCACCGGGCCGGGATCGGGACCGGCATTCCCGGGATCCTCTTCCAGTGTCCGCACCCTCCCACCATTCCAGAGGGTCGGGATCTTGGGATTTGGGGATTTTGGGATCTTGGGATTTTGGGAATTTGGGATATTGGGACATTGGGATCTTAGAAACTTGGGAATTTGGGATCTTAGAAACTTGGGAATTTGGGATCTTAGAGACCTTGGAATTTGGGGATTTTGGGGATTTGGGATCTTGGGATTTTGGAATCTTGGAATCTTTGGATTTGGGGTTTTGGGATTTTGGGGATTTGGGATCTTGGAATCTTCAGATTTGGGATCTTGGGATGTTGGGTTCTTGGAAGTTTGGGAATTTGGGATCTTAGAGAACTTGGAAATTGGGGATTTTGGGGATTTGGGATCTTGGGATATTGTGACTTTGGGAGCTTGGGATTTTGGAATCTTGGAACCTTTGGATTTGGGGATTTTGGGGATTTGGGATTTTGGGATCTTGGAATGTTGGGATTTTGGGATCTTGGCATTTCTGTCTGGAATTCCCAGCGGATCCCAGGGAACATCGGGGCACGCCGGGCCGGGATCGGGGCCGGCATTCCCGGGATCCTCTCCCATGGCCACTCCCGCTCTCTCTGCCCTTCCAGAGGATCGGGATTCCCGGCTGGGGGAGGATTCCCGGATGGAAGATTCCCGGTTGGCCGATTCCGTGTTGAAAAATTTCTGGCTGGAAGATTCCCAAGGGGATGATCCCGTGTTGAAGGATTCCCGGTTGGCCAATTCCGTGTTGAAAGATTTCCAGCTGGAAGATTCCCAATTGGCCAATTCCGTGTCGAAGGATTCCCGGTTGGTCGATTCCTGGCTGGAGAATTCCCGGTTGGCCGATTCCGTGTCAAAGGATTTCCAGTTGGCCAATTCCATGTCGAAAAATTCCCGGCTGGAGGATTCCCGGTTGGCCGATTCCGTGTCAAGGGATTCCCAGTTGGTCGATTCCCGGCTGGAAGATTCCCAAGGGGACGATCCCGTGTCGAAGGATTCCCGGTTGGCCAATTCCATGTTGAAGGATTCCCGGTTGACCGATTCTGTGTCGAAGGATTCCCGGCTGGAAGATTCCCAGTTGGCCGATTCTGTATTGAAGGATTCCCAGTTGGAAGATTCCCGGTTGGCTGATTCCCGGTTGGCCGATTCCCGGCTGGAAGATTCCCAAAGGAATGATCCCATGTCAAAGGATTCCCAGTTGGTCGATTCCCATTTGGAAGATTCCCAGTTGGCCGATTCCACGTTGGATGATTCCCATTTGGAAGATTCCCATTTGGAAGATTCCCAGTTGGCTGATTCCCAAGGGGACGATTCCTGTTTGGAAGATTCCCAAGGGGACGATTCCCAGATAGAGAATTCCCAAGGGGACAATTCCGTGTCCTCGGACGATGATTCCTGGGACGAGGCGGCGTTCCGGGCGGCGCTGGGCTCTCGGCCGGCGCTGCCGCGGGCGGTTCTGGTGCCGGCGCAGGCGCCGGTTCTGGAGCTGTTCTGCGCCTGCACCGCCGCCGCGCCCCGGCAGCGCCCGCCCGCCGCAGCCATCGTCCGCGCCCTGGAGAGCCGCCGGGAATGTCCCGATCCCGCCGCCGCCATCGTCCGCGCCCTGGAGAGCCGCCGGGAGCATCCCAGTGACGGCATTCCCGGGAAAACCAGCCCGGAGAGCCGCCGGGAGCGTCCCGATCCTGGGAAAAACCAGCCCGGAGAGCCCGGCACAGCGGCTACGGAGCCGGAATTCCCGGGGTTACACAGCCCCGACCGCCTGGGCTAACGGAGATGGAATTCCCGGGATTCCACAGCCAGAATTCCTGGAATTACGGAGCCGGGATTCCCAGGGTTACATGGCCCCGACAACCTGGGGTAATGGAGATGGAATTCCCAGGATTCCGGAATCTGGAATTCCCGGGATTCCAGAGCCCAGAGTTCCTGGGATTCCAGAGCCCAGAATTCCTGGGATTATGGAGCTGGAATTACCAGGATTCCAAAGCCCAGAGTTCCTGAGATTGCAGAGCCCAGAATTCCCAGGATTCCAAAGCCAGAATTCCTGAGATTCCAGAGTCCAGAATTCCAGAGCCCTGACCACCTGGGGTAATGGAGCTGGAATTCCTGGGATTCCAGAGCCCTGAGATCCTGCGATTCCAGACCCCAGAATTCCCAGGATTATGGAGCTGGAATCCTGGAGATTACAAAACTGGAATCCCTGGGGATTCCAGAGCCCAGAGTTCCTGAAATTCCAGAGCCGGAATTCCCAGGGTTACACGGCCCCAACCGCCTGGGGTAATGAAGATGGAATTCCCGGGATTCCAGAGCCAGAATCCCCAGAATTCCAGAGCCGGAATTCCTGGGATTACGGAACCAGAATTCCCAGGATTCCACAGCCCAGAATTCCCAAGATTCCAGAGCCAGAATTCCTGGGATTACAGAGCCGGAATTCCCGGGATTACACAGCCCCGACCACCTGGGGTAACGGAGATGGAATTCCCGGGACTCCAGAGCCCAGAATTCCTGAGATCCCGGAGCTGGAATTCCTGGGATTTCAGAGCCCAGAATTCCCAGGATTATGGAGCTGGAATTTCTAGAGTTCCAGAGCTGGAATTCCTGGGATTCTGGAGCCGGAATTCCTGGGATTACAGAGCCATAATCCTGGGGATTACGAAGCTGGAATTCCCGGGATTCCAGAGCCCAGAATTCCCAATATTCCAGAGTCTATTCCTGGAATTCCAGAGCCTGGAGAGACTGGGAATTCCCAGGATTCCAGAGCTGGAATTCCCAGTATTACGGAGCCAGAATTCCCAGGATTCCAGAGGTGGAATTCCCAGGATTCCGGAGCCACAATTCCCAGGATTCTGGAACCGGAATTCCCGGAATTCCAGAGCCCGGCATCCAGGTTTTAGGATTCAATTTTCCCGCTGGGGTTCGGATTTTCCCAGGTTTTTTCCTGGATTTTCCCTTTTTCAGGTCAGATTTTCCCAAATTTTCCAGTTGGATTTTCCCTGTTTTTTTGGGCTGGAATTTCCCGAGTTTTCCCATTGGATTTTCCCTCTTTTCCAGGCTGAATTTTCCCAGGTTTTTAGGATTGGATTTCCCTCATTTTCCCTCTTTTTCGGGTTTGGATTTTCCCGTTTTTTTGTTGGATTTTTCCCTGTTTTTTTGGGACGGATTCTCCCTTTGAAGTTGAATTTTCCCAAGTTTTTTTCCTGGTTTTTAGGGTCGGATTTTGCCTCTTTTTGGGGCTGGAATTTCCCACTTTTAGGTCAAATTTTCTCTCATTTTTTAGTTGGATTTTCCCTCTTTTCCAGGCAGGATTTTCCCTCTGGGATTTGGATTTTCCCAATTTTTTTCCCGGATTTTCCCTCTTTTTTTGGGCTGGATTTTCCCTCTTTTAAGTCAGATTTTCCCTCTTTTTTTTCACCTGGATTTTCCTTCCTTCTGCAGTTGGATTTTTCCCTCTGGATTTTGGATTTTCCCCAAGTTTTTTCCTGGATTTTTCCCAAGTTTTTAAGGTTGGATTTCTAAAATTTGGGTTTTAGATTTTTCCAGTTTTTTTTCCTGGATTTTTCCTTTTTTTTGAGTTGGATTTTCCCAAGTTTTTAGGGTTGGATTTCTCAAATTTGGGTTTGGATTTTCCCAATTTTTTTTCCTGCGTTTTCCCTTTTTTTCGGCTGGATTTCCTGAGTTTTCCCGTTGGATTTTCCCGAGTTTTTCCTCCGGAACGTTCCCAATAAATGGATTTATTTGTTCCTCTCTCCGGGCTCGGAATTTTCCTTGGGATTTGGCTTTTCCAGAGGGGCGGGAGCTGGGACGGGATTCGGCTGCTCTGAGGGAGGAAAATCCCAAAAAAACCCAGAATATTCCCATAAAACCTTGGAATATCCCCAAAAAACCCCGAAATCTTCCCATAAAAGTGTGGAATATCCCAAAGAAACAAAAATATTCCCATAAAACCTTGGAATATCAAAAAAAACCCCAAAATATTCCCATAAAACCTTGGAATATCCCAAAAAACCCAAAATATTCCCTTAAAACCTTGGAATATTCCCCAAAAAATTGGAATACTTCCATAAAACCTCGGAATATTCTCAAAACCTTGGAATGTCCCAAAAAACCCCAAAATATTCCCATAAAACCTTGGAATATCCCAAAGAACCCAAAATATTCCCATAAAACCTTGGAATATCCCATAAAACCCGAAATATTCCCATAGAAGTTTGGAATATCCCAAAAATCCCTAAAATATTCCCATAAAATCTTGGAATATCCCATAAAACCCAAAATATTCCCATAAAATCTTGGAATATCCCAAAAAACCCTGAAATATTCCCATAACACCTTGGAATATTCCCATAAAACCTTGGAATATCCCAAAAAACCCAAAATAATCCCTTAAAACCTCAGAATATCCCAAAACCCCCCAAAATATTCCCATAAAACCACAAATATTCCCTTAAAACCTTGGAATATGTCCAAAAAAAAATTGGAATATCCCCAAAAAACCTTGGAATACCCCCCAAAACCCAAAACATTCCCATAAAACCTTGGAATATCCCAAACCCCCCCGAAATATTCCCTTAAAACCTTGGAATATCCCAAAAAACCCAAAATATTCCCATAAAATTTTGGAATATCCCAAAAAATCCAAAATATTCCCACAAAACCTTGGAATATCCCCAAAAAACAAAAATATTCCCTTAACACCTTGGAATATTCTCAAAACCTTGGAATATGTCCCAAAAAATTGGAATATCCCCATAAAACCTTGGAATGTTTCCAAAAAAACTGAAATACTTCCTTAAAACCCTGGAATATCCCCAAAACCCCTAAACATTCCCATAAAACCTTGGAATATCCCAAAAAACCCCGAAATGTTCCCTTAAAACCTTGGAATATCCCAAAAATCCCTGAAATATTCCAATAAAACCTTGGAATATTATCAAAACCTTAGAATATCCCAAAAAATTGGAATATCCCCAAAAAACCTTGGAATATCCCAAAAACCCCAAAATATTCCCTTAAAACCTCAGAATATCCCAAAAATCCCCAAAATATTCCCATAAAACCCAAAATATTCCCTTAAAACCTCAGAATATCCCAAAAAACCCCGAAATATTCCCATAAAACCTTGGAATATCCCAAAACCCCTCGAAATATTCCCTTAAAACCTTGGAATATCCCAAAAAACCCAAAATATTCCCATAAAATTTTGGAATATCCCAAAAAATCCAAAATATTCCCACAAAACCTTGGAATATCCCCAAAAACCAAAAATATTCCCATAACACCTTGGAATATTCTCAAAACCTTGGAATATGTCCCCAAAAATTTTGAATATCCCCATAAAACCTTGGAATATCCCCCAAAACCCCAAAATATTCCCATAAAACCTTGGAAAACCCCCGGGATGATTCCCCAAAACCCAGAAATAACGAAAAACCTTGGAATATTGTCAGAAATTTATGGAATATCTTCACAAAACCTGGGAATATTTCCATAAAACCTTGGAACAGCATCGCAAAAACCTTCGGGATGGCGACAAAATTTATGGAATTTCCCCATAAAACCTTGGAATATCGACAGAAATTGATGGAACAGCTTCACAAAAACCTTGGAATATCCCAGAAATCCCCAAAATATTCCCATAAAAACTTGGAATAGCGACAGAAATTTATGGAATATCCTTGGAAAAACCTTGGAATAGCAACAAATTTATGGAATATCACGGTAAAAACGCGGATTATTGACAGGAATTTATGGAATATCTTCAGAAAAATCTTGGAATATTGACAGAAATTTATGGAATATCTTCAGAAAATCTTGGAATTTTTTCATAAAACCTCGGAACAGCGTCACAAAACTCTGGAATATCGACAGGAATTTCTGGGATATCCCAGTAAAACCTTGGGATGTTCCCACAACCGCCCGGAATTCCCAGGGAACGGGAAAAGGGAATTCCCAGGAACGCAGCCCCGACCCCAACGAACCCAAATCCCCAAAAAAAAAAAACAACCGGGAAAAGCCGGGAATTACGGGGGATCCCAGCGGAATTCCAGGATTTCCTGGGCAGAATTCCAGGATTTCCTGGTGGAATTCCAGGATTTCCAGCGGAATTCCAGGATTTCCTGGCAGAATTTCAGGATTTCCAGTGGAATTCCAGGATTTCCAATGAAATTCCAGGATTTCCACATGGAATTCTAGGATTTCCTGGGCAGAATTCCGGGATTTTTTGGAGGAATCCCAGGGTTTCCCGTGGAATTCCAGGATTTCCACATGGAATTCCAGGATTTCCAACTAAATTCCAGGATTTCTAGAAGAATTCCAGGATTTCCCAGTGGAATTCCAGGATTTCTTGTGGAATTCCAGGATTTCTCATGGAATTCCAGGATTTCCTGGCAGAGAATTCCCAAGGGAAGGAGAATTCCCAAGGGAATGAGGGATTCCGGATGGACAGGAAGGGAGGGAAGGGAAAGATTCCCAAAAAAAGGAAGGGAATGAGGAATTCCCAAGGGAAAGATTCCGAAGGGAATGAAGGGTTGGGAAGGGATCCAGGGCAGAATTCCCGTGGGAGGGAAGGGAAAGATTCCCAAGGGAATGAGGGATTTGGGGAAGGATTCCGACAGGAATGAGGAATTCCAGAGGGATGGGAAGGGATCCAGGGATTCCCAAGGAAATGAGGGATTTGGTTGGGATCCAGGGCAGGATTCCCGTGGGAATGAGGAATTCCCGAGGGAAGGGATCCATGGCAGGATTCCCTCGGGATCTGAGGAGGATTCCGGGATCCATCCCGGCTTTTCCGGCCCCTCGGGAATTCCGGCTGGGTCCAAAGGACCCCGATCCCGATGATCCCAATGATCCCCAAGGATCCTGGTGAGGTGATCCCGATCCCGATCACGCTGATCCCGACCCCACAGCTGATCCCGCTGCTCCGGGCGCTGATTCCGGTGGGGCCGATCCCGGTGATCCCAGAGCGGATCCTGGAGCAGATCCCGGTGATCCCGGTCCCACTGATCCCACTGATCCCAGTGCCCATCCCAGAGTGGATCCTGGGGTCAATCCCGGTGATCCTGATGTGGATCCCGGAGCAGATCCCGGGGTGGATCCCGGAATGGATCCTGCTGATCCCAGAGCAGGTCCCAATGTGGATCCCAGAGCAGATCCCAGAGCAGATCCTGATGATCCCAGAGGGGATCCTGGTGTGGATCCCGGAGGGGATCCTGGTGTGGATCCTGGTGCGGATTCCGATGTTCCTGGAGGAGATCCCGGAGCAGATTCTGATGTTCCTGGAGCAGATCCCAGAGCGGATCCTGGTGCGGATCCTGATGATCTCGTCGCGGCGCCCGTTGCAGCTCCCGGTGCGGATCCCGATGATCCCGTGGAGGATCCTGGTGTGGATTCCAATGTTCCCGGAGCAGATCCTAGAGCAGATCCCGATGATCCCATGGCGGATCCTGGTGCAGATCCCGGAGCAGATCCCAGTGTTTCTGGAGCAGATCCCAGAGTTGATCCCGGAGCGGATCCCGATGATCCCAGAGCAGATCCCAGAGCAGGCCCTGGTGTTTCTGAAGTGGATCCTGGAGTGGATCCTGATGATCCAGTGGCAGATCCCAGAGCGGATCCCGGGGCAGATCCTGATGATCCCAGAGCAGATCCCGGTGTGGATCCCGGAGCAGATCCTGGTGTTTCTGGAGCAGATCCTGGTGCGGATCCTGATGTTCCCATCGCGGATCCTGGTGCAGATCCCGACGATCCCAGCGCAGATCCCAGTGCAGATCCCGGGGCGGATCCCGGAGCAGATCCCGGAGCGGATCCCGATGATCCCAGCGCGGATCCCGGAGCAGATCCCGATGTTCCCGGAGCGGATCCCGGAGCAGATCCCGATGTTCCCAGCGCAGATCCTGGTGCAGATCCCAGAGCAGATCCCGGTGTGGATCCCGGAGCAGATCCCGATGATCCCATGGCAGATCCCGGAGCAGATCCTGGAGCAGATCCTGGTGTTTCTGGAGCTGATCCTGGAGCAGATCCCGGTGCGGATCCAGGTGCGGATCCTGGAGCAGATCCCAATGTTCCCAGAGCAGATCCTGGTGCAGATCCCGATGTTCCCGAAGCGGATCCCCGAGTGGATCCTGGTGCAGATCCCGACGATCCCAGCGCAGATCCCAGCGCAGATCCCGGGGCGGATCCCGGAGCAGATCCCAATGATCCCATGGAAGATCCTGGAGCGGATCCCGGTGTTCCCAGCACGGATCCCGGAGCAGATCCCGGTTCGGATCCCGTTGTGGCGGCGGCGGGGCGGCAGACGAGGAAGTCGGGGCGGGCGCAGCAGCGCGCGGCGAAGGCGCGGCCGTCGGCCGTGGGGTCGGAAAAGGCCAAATCCCCAAAGCTCAGCACCGCCCCGAACACGAACGTGCGCCTGGAAACACAGCACCGGGGGAAAAGGTGGGGAAATGGACAGCGGGAAACAGCGGGAAACAATGGGAAAAACAGTGGGAAAACAATGGGAAAACAGCGGGGAAATAGCAGGGAAAACAGCGGGGAAATAGTGGGAAACAGCGGGGAAAACAGGGGAGTAAACAGCGGGGAAACAATGGGGAAATAGCGGGGAAACAGGAAAAATAGCAGGAAAAACAATGGGGAAAACAGTGCAAAAAAGGGGAAAAACAACGGAAAAAACACTGGGAAACAATGGGAAAAACAGTGGGAAAAATGGGGAAAACAGCAGGGGAAATACCAGGGAAAACAATGGGGAAACAGTGGGAAAAACAGTGGAAAACAATGGGAAAAATAGGGGAAAACAGTGGGGAAAACAGAGGGGAAAAATGGGGGAAAGAGTGGGAAAAACGGTGGGAAACAATGGGAAAAACAGTGGGAAAATCAGTGGGAGAAACAGCAGGAAAAACAGTGGGAAACAATGGGAAAAATGGGGAATACAGCGGGGAAAATACCAGGGAAAACAGCGGGAAAAACAGTGGGAAACAATGGGAAAAACAGTGGGAAACAATGGGAAAAATAGCAGGGAAAATACCAGGGAAAACAGCGGGAAAACCAGTGGGAAACAATGGGAAAAACAGTGGGAAACAATGGGAAAAATAGGGAAAAACAGCGGGGAAAATACCAGGGAAAACAGTGGGGAAAATAGCAGGGAAAAATAGTGGGAAACAATGGGAAACAATGGGAAAACAGCGGGGAAAATACCAGGGAAAACAGTGGGGGAAACAGTGGGAAACAGTGGGAAACAATGGGAAACAATGGGAAAAACAGCGGGGAAAACAGGGGGGGAAAATGGGGAAAAGAGTGGAAAAAACGGTGGGAAACAATGGGAAAAACAGTGGGAAAATCAGTGGGAAAAACAATGGGAAAAATGGGGAAAACAATAGAAAAAACAATGGGAAACAATGGGAAAACCAGTGGGAAAACAGCAGGGAAAATACCAGGGAAAACAGTGGGAAAAACAATGGGAAAAACAGTGGGAAACAATGGGAAAAACAGCGGGAAAAATACCAGGGAAAACAGCAGGAAAAATAGGGAAAAGAGCGGGAAAACAGCAGGAAAAACAGCAGGGAACCGATGGGAAAAATGGGGAAAAGAGCAGGGAAAAGAGCAGAAAAAACAATGGGAAAACCGGTGGGAAACAATGGGAAAAACAGCGGGGAAAATACACGGGAAAACAGCGGGAAACAATGGGAAAACAATGGAAAAACAGTGGGAAACATGGGAAAAATAGGGAAAACAGCAGGGAAAACAATGGAAAAAATGGGGAAAACAATGGGGAAAACAGCGGGAAAAAATGAGGAAAAGAGTGGGAAAAACAGTGCGAAACAATGGGAAAAACAGTGGGAAAATCAGTGGGAGAAACAGTGGGAAAATCAGTGGGGAACAATGGGAAAAATGGGGAAAACAGCGGGGAAAATACCAGGGAAAATAGCGGGAAAAATGGGGAAAAGAATGGGAAAACAGCAGGAAACACAGTGGGAAAAATACCAGGGAAAACAGCAGGGAAATGAAAAACAGCAGGAAAAGCAATGGGGAAAACAGTGTGAAAAACAGGAAAAACAATGGAAAAACAGTGGGAAACAATGGGAAAAATGGGGAAAACAGTGGGAAAAATACCAGGGAAAACAGTGGGAAAAATGGGGAAAACAACAGGAAAAACAGTGGGAAAAATGGGGTAAACAGCGGGAAAAACAGCAGGAAAACCAATGGGAAAACAGCAGGAAAAACATGGGGGAAAAGGGAAAAAGGGCAGGAAAAACACCGGGGAAAAACTGGCAGTGCCGGTTCCCAATCCCAATCCCAATCCCAATTCCCGAGGTTTATTCCCGGAATTCCCACCCGAGCCCCTCCAGCACCATTGGATGATGCCAGTTCCCATTCCCAATCCCAATTCCCGAGGTTTTTTCCCGGAATTCCCACCTGAGCGCCTCCAGCACCATTGGCCGATGCCGGTTCCCATTCCCAATCCCAATTCCCGAGGTTTATTCCCGGAATTCCCACCTGAGCCCCTCCAGCACCATTGGCCGATGCCGGTTCCCGTTCCCAATCCCAATTCCCGAGGTTTATTCCCAATGTTTATTCCCGGAATTCCCACCTGAGCGCCTCCAGCACCATTGGATGATTCCTGTTCCCATTCCCAATCCCAATACCGTTATTCCCATTCCCAATTCCTGATTTTTATTCCCGGAATTCCCACCTGAGCACCTCCAGCATCCCTTGGCCGATGCCGGTTCCCGTTCCCAATCCCAATTCCCGAGGTTTATTCCCGGAATTCCCACCTGAGCACCTCCAGCATCCATTGGCCGATGCCAGTTCCCATTCCCAATCCCGTTATTCCCGATGTTTATTCCAGAATTCCCACCTGAGCCCCTCCAGCACCCGTTGGCCGATGCCGGCTCCCATTCCCAATGTTATTCCCGATGTTTATTCCCGGAATTCCCACCTGAGCCCCTCCAGCACCATTGGCTGATGCCGGTTCCCATTCCCAATCCCAATCCCAATTCCCGATGTTTATTCCCGCAATTCCCACCCGAGCGCCTCCAGCACCATTGGCCGATGCCGGTTCCCATTCCCAACCCCAATTCCCGAGGTTTATTCCCGATGTTTATTCCTGGAATTCCCACCTGAGCGCCTCCAGCATGCGGCGGGCGATGCCGGTTCCCATTCCCAATCCCAATTCCCGAGGTTTATTCCCGGAATTCCCCCCTGAGTGCCTCCAGCACCATTGGCCGATGCCGGTTCCCGTTCCCAATCCCAATTCCCGATGTTTATTCCCGGAATTCCCACCTGAGCGCCTCCAGCATCCGTCGGGCGATGCCGCGGCGCCGCTGGGCCCGGAGCACCCAGATCCGGCTGATCCCGCACGCGGCCGGCTCCGGCTGCACCGAGCAGCGCCACGCCCGCAGGGAATCCCGGGAATTATCCCGGGAATTATCCTGGGAATTGTCCTGGGAATTGTCCCGGGGGTCCGGCTCCGGCAGCAGCCGGTACGCCTGAGGGAATGAGGGCGGAGAGTGGGAATGGGGAGAGCGGGAATGTGGGAATGGGAATTGGGGTGGGAATGGGAATTGGGGGTGGGAAAGTGGGAATGGGGATTGGAACGGGAAATGGGAATGGGAATGGGAATTGGGAACTGGGAATGGGAAAGTGGGAATGGAAAAGTGGGAGTGGGAATTGGGATGGGAGTTGGGGATGGAAATCTGGGAATGGGGAACTGGGAGTAGAAATTGGGAATGGGAATGGGAAAGTGGGAATTGGGAACTGGGAATGGGAACTGGGAATGGGAATTGGGACTGGGAATTGGGAATGGGAATTGGGAATGTGGGAATGGGAAATGGGAATAGGAACTGAGAATGGGAACTGGGAATTGGGAACTGGGAATGGGGAACTGGGAATGGGAATATGGGAATGGGAACTGGGAATGGGAAGTGGGAATGGGATGGGAAGTGGGAATGGGGAACTGGGATGCAAAGTGGGAGTGGGAATTGGGAATTGGGGATGGAAAACTGGGAATGGGAATGGGAACTGGGAATGGGAACTGGGAATGGGGAATTGGGAATGGGGAACTGGGAATGCAAATGCAGAACTGGGAGTGGAAATTGGGAATGGGAATGGGAAAGTGGGAATTGGGAACTGGGAATGGGAATGGGAATTGGGATGGAAAGTGGGAGTGGGAATTGGGATGGGAATTGGGGATGGAAAACTGGGAATGGGAATGGGGAACTGGGAATGGGAACTGGGAATTGGGAACGGGGAATTGGGAACAGGGAATTGGGAATGGGAATGCGGAACTGGGAGTGGGAATTGGGAATGGGAACTGGCAATGGGAATATGGGAACTGGGAATGGGAACTGGGAATGGGGAATTGGGACTGGGAATGGGAAAGTGGGAATTGGGAATGGGAATGGGGAACTGGGAATGGGAATGGGAATTGGGATGGAAAGTGGGAGTAGGAATTGGGATGGGAATTGGGGATGGAAAACTGGGAATGGGAACGAGGAATGGGAAATGGGAATGGGGATGGGAACTGGGAATTGGGGTGTTAAAGTGGGAATGGGGATTGGGACAGGGAATGGGAAGTGGGAATGGGGAATTGGGAATGGGAACTGGGAATGGGAATGCGGAACTGGGAGTGGAAATTGGGAATGGGAATGGGAAAGTGGGAATTGGGAACTGGGAACTGGGAATGGGAATTGGGATGGAAAGTGGGAGTGGGAATTGGGAATGGGAATTGGGGATGGAAAACTGGGAATGGGAACTGGGAATGGGAACTGGGAATGGGGATGAGAATGAGAACTGGGAATTTGGAAGTGAACTGGGAATGGGGAATTGGGAATGGGGAAATGGGATAGGAATGGGAAAGTGGGAATGGGGACTGGGAATGGGAATGAGGATGGAAACCGGGAATGGGAATTGGGAATTTGGAAGTGAACTGGGACTGGGAATAGAGATGGGAACAAGGAAAGCGGGAATGGGGATTGGGAATTGGGAACTGGGAATGGGGGATTTGGAACTAGAATTGGGAATTGGGACTGAGGATGGGAATGGGAACTGGGAACTGGGAATTGGGAATGAATTGATCCCTGATCAATCCCCAATCAGTCAATCCTCAATCAATCAATCAACCCCTGCTCAATCTCCAACCAATCAATTCCCAGTCAATCAGTGCCCAATCCATCAATCGCCAATTCATCAACCAATCCCCAATGAATCAATCCCCAATGAGTCAATCCCCAATCAGTCAATGGAACGATCAATCCCCAATCAATCCATCAATCAATCAATCGCTAATCCATCAATCAATCCCCAATGAATCAATCCCCAATGAATCAATCCCCAATCAGTCAATGGAACAATCAATCCCCAATCCATCAATCCATCAATCCCCAATCCATCAACCAATCCCCATTCAGTCAATCCCCAATCAGTCAATGGAACGATCAATCCCCAATCCATCAATCAGTCCCCAATGAGTCAATCCCCAATCAGTCAATGGATCGATCAATCCCCAATCAATCAATCGATCAATCCCCAATCAATCAATTAATCCCCAATCAGTCAATCCCCAATGAGTCAATGGAACAATCAATCCCAAATCAATCCTTCAATCAATCAATCGCCAATCCATCAATCAATCCCCAATGAGTCAGTCCCCAATGAGTCAATCCCCAATCAGTCAATGGATCGATCAATCCCCAATCAATCCATCAATCCATCAATCCCCAATCCATCAACCAATCCCCAATGAGTCAATCCCCAATCAGTCAATGGATCGACCAATCCCCAATCAATCAATTGATCCCCAATCAGTCAATCCCCAGTCAGTCAATGGATGGATCAATCCCCATTCAATCAATCAATCCCCAATGAGTCAATCCCCAACGAGTCAATCCCCAATCAGTCAATGGATGGATCAATCCCCAATCAATCGATCAATAATCGATCAATAACCGATCAATAACCGATGGGCGGATCGATCTCACCTGCCGGATGGGGTGTGCCGCCAGGCAGCCGAGCACGCGTCCCGCGGGGCTGAGGAACAGGTAGACGGAAACCCGGGAATGCGGCCCGGGAATGCGGGAATGCTCCGGGAACCCCAACTCCGCATCCACCACCGACAGCACCTCCGCGGCCTGCGGGAACGGGGGAATTCCGGGAAATTGGGGGAATTCCCGGGAAAAATGGGGTGGGAATTCACGGGAAAAATGGGGGGGGATTCCTGGGAAATGGGGTGGGAATTGGGGCGGGAATTCCCGGGAAAATGGTGGGAATTCCTGGGAAATGGGGTGGGAATTCCCAGGGAAAAAATGGGGTGGGAATTCCACGGAAAAATGGGGTGGGAATTCCCGGGAAAAGGGGGTGGGAATTCTTGGGAAAGCTGGTGGGAATTCCTGGGAAAATGGGGTGGGAATTCCTGGGATTGGAATACCAGGAAAAAGAGGATGGAAATTCTGGGAAAACAGGGAGGGAATTCCTCGGAAAATGGGGTGGGAAATGGGGCAGGAATTCCTGGGAAAATGGGGTGTGAAATGGAGTGGGAATTCCCAGGAAAATGGGGTGAGAATTCCCGGGAAAAGGGGTGGGAATTCCCGGGAAAATGGAGTGGGAATTCCTGAAAAATGGGGTGGGAATTCCTGGGAAAATGGGGTGGGAATTCCTGAAAATTGGGGTGGGAATTCCTGGGAAAGGTGGTGGGAATTCCTGGGAAAATGCAGTGGGAAATGGGGTGGGAATTATTGGGAAAGGGGATGGGAATTCCTGGAAAAATGGGGGGGGAATTCCCAGAATTTGGGATTTGAGATCAGGCCCCGCTGGGATTTGGGATTGGATTTGGGATCAGATCCCATTGGGATTTGGGATTGGGGTGGGATTTGGAATTTGGGATCGGGCCCCGCTGGGATTTGGGATCAGATCCTGCCGGAATTTGGGAATTCGGTACCTTCCTGAGGGCGAATTTGGGATCGTCGGGCAGGATCAGGAGGATTTTCCCATCCCAGAATTCCGACACCACGCGCTCCTGCTTCCAGCCCTGCCGGAGCCGGGATCCATCAGCGCCCGCGCCCTTCCCGCAATTCCCTCCCGTTCCCATTCCCGGAATTCCTTCTCATTCCCATTCCCGGAATTACCTCCCATTCCCCCATTCCCATTCCCAGAATTCCCTCCCATTCCCGGTCCCATTCCCGGAATTCCCTCTCATTCCCCCGTTCCCGTTCCCGGAATTCCCTCCCATTCCCATGTTCCCATTGCCAAAATTCCCTCCCGTTCTCATTCCTATTCCCCCAGAATTCCTGGAATTCCCTCTCATTCCCATTCCCATTCCCATCCCAGAATTTCCTCTCATTCCCATTCCTGAAATTCCCTCTCATTCCCCCGTTCCCGTTCCCAGAATTCCCTCCCGTTCTCATTCCCATTCCCCCAGAATTCCTGCAATTCCCTCCCGTTCCCACATTCCCATTTCCCTGGAATTCTCAGAATTCCCCCCATTCTTATGCCCAGAATTCCCGTTCCCAGAATTCCTGTTCCCAGAATTCTCTCCCATTCCCCTGGAATTCCCAGAATTCCTGGATTTCCCATTCCCAGAATTCCCTCCCATTCCCCATTCCCACATTCCCAGTGCCATTTTCTCCACAGAATTCCCAGAACTCCCAGAACTGCCGTGTTATTCCCAGAATTCCCATGTTATCCCCAGAATTTCTGTGTTATTCCCAGACCTCCCGCATCATTCCCACCATTCCCATCCCATAATCCCCTCTGATTCCCATTCTCGAAATTCCCTCTCATTCCCCCATTCCCATTCCTGGAATTCCCTCCTGTTCCCATTCCCGTTCCTGGAATTCCCTCTCATTCCCATTCCTGGAATTTCCTCATTCCCATTCCCAGAATTCCCTGCCATTCTGATTCCCATTCCCCCACAATTCCCGGAATTCCCTCCCGTTCCCATTCCCATTCCCGGAATTCCCTCCCGTTCCCATTCCTGGAATTCCCTCTCATTCCCCAATTGCCATTCCTGGAATTCTCTCTCATTCCCCCATTCCCAGAATTCCCTCTCGTTCCCATTCCCATTCCCGGAATTCCCTCCCATTCCCCATTCCCACATTCCCAGTGCCATTTTCTCCCCGGAATTCCCAGAACTCTCATGTTATTCCCAGAATTCCCGTTATTCCCTGAATTCCCCTGCTGCAATTTCCAGAACTCCCAGAACTGCTGTGTTATTCCCAGAACTCCCATGTTATTCCCAGAATTTCTGTTATTCCCAGAATTCCCCTGCTGCAATTCCCAGAACTCTCAGAATTCCCATGTTATTCCCAGAATTTCTGTGTTATTCCCAGAACTCACGCGTCATTCCCACCATTCCCATCCCAGAATTCCCTCTGATTCCCATTCCCGAAATTCCCTCTCATTCCCCCATTCCCATTCCCGGAATTCCCTCCCGTTCTCATTCCCATTCCCGCAGAATTCCCGGAATTCACTCATTCCCATTCCTGGAATTTCCTCCTGTTCCCATTCCCGGAATTCCCTCTCATTCCCCAATTGCCATTCCTGGAATTCCCTCTTGTTCCCATTCCCATTCCCATAATTCCCTCCCATTCCCATTCCCGGAATTTCCTCCCATTCCCCCGTTCCCATTGCCCCAGAATTCCCCTGCTGTAATTCCCAGAATTCCCGCGTTATTCCCAGAATTCCTGCTGTAATTCCCGCGTTATTCCCGCGCCATTCCCGTTGTTATTCCCGGTTTTCCTCACGGTGTGTGTCAGCGCCTGCCGGAGCCGCCGGTGGTGCCGGAGGTGCTGGAGCCGATCCTCGGGAATTCCGGGAGCGAAGAGCATCCCGCAGGATCCGCACTGCCGCGGGCCCAGCCCCCGCTGCCCCGCGTCCTGCCGGGAAAACGGGAATAAAATCCGGGAATAAAATCCGGGAATTCCGGGAATGAACAGCCCCCGCTGCCCCGCGTCCTGCCGGGAAAAAACGGGAATGAAATCCGGGAATTAAATCCGGGAATGAACAGCCCCCGCTGCCCCGCGTCCTGCGGAAAAACGGGAATAAAGTCTGGGAATTCTGGGAATGAACAGCCCCCTCCCCGCTGCCCCGCGTCCTGCCGGGAAAACGGGAATAAAATCTGGGAATAAAATCCGGGAATTCCGGGAATGAACAGACCCCGCTGCCCCACGTCCTGCGGGAAAACGGGAATGGGACCTGGGAATTCCAGGAATGAACAGCGGGAATGGGATCTGGGAATTTAACCCGGATAACTGCGAATAAAATCTGGGAATTCCGGGATAACCGGGAATTTGACCGGGATAACCGCGATTAAAATCTGGGAATTGCGGGAATGAACAGTGAGAATTAGTGGGAACGAACACTGGGAATAAAATCTGGGAATTCCGGGAATGAACACTGGGAATGAGGGATGGCTGCATGATCCTGCAGGAAAAACAGGAATAAAATCTGATAATTCTGAGAATTCCGGGATAACCGGGAATGTGAGATGAGAATTCCAGGAATGAACCCCAGGAATAACGGGAAGGGGAAGGAGCAGAAGTAAATCCCGGGAAAATCAGGGAAAAAACTGGGAAAATAATTGGGAAAAATGAGGAAATCAGAGCAAAATGGGAAGAATACTGGGAAAAATCAGGGAAAAATGGAAAAATGGGAAAAATCGGGAAAATCGGGAAAAAATTCAGGGAAATCAGGGAAAAAATGGGAAAAATGAGGAAATCAGGGGAAAATCAGGGAAAATAATTGGGAAAAATGAGGAACCCCATCCCAGGGAAGGTTCCAGAATTCCCGGAATTCCAAAATTCCCACAGAAAGTTCTGGAATTCCCAGATGTCCTGAATTCCCAAATTCCCAGGGGAAATTTCCCGGATTCCCATCCCATGGAAGCTTCAGGAATTCCCAAATTCCCATTGAAGGTTCCGGAATTCCCAGAATTCCCAAATTCCCATCCCAGGGAATTCCCAGATTTCCCCTCCCACGGAAGGGTCAAGAATTCCCAAATTCCCATGGAAGGTTACGGAATTCCCCAGTTCCCCAGGAAAGTTCCGGAATCTTGGAATTCCCAAATTCCTTTCCTGGGGCATTCCCGGGTTCCCCAATTCCCATGGAAAGTTCCGGAATTTCCAAATTCCCCAGGAAAGATTCAGAATTCCCAAATTCCCCTCCCGGGGAATTCCCAGATTCCCCAAATGCCCAGGAAAGTTCTGGAATTCTGGAATTCTCAAATTTTCCCAGGAAAAGTTCCGTAATTCCCAAATTCCCAGGGAATTCTGGAATTCCCAAATTCCCAGGGAAGGTTCCCACATTCCCAAATTTTCCCAGGGAATTTCGGGAATTCCGGGCTCACGATGATCAGCTGCTCCCCGGCGCATTCCCGGGATTTCCTGGAGAATTTTCCAGAGGGGTCCGAGGGCGGCGGCAGCGGCTCCAGGGGCCTGGAAAATGGGGAAAAATCAGGGGAAAATGGGAAAAAATGGGGAAAAAATCAGGGAGAAATGGGAAAATGGGAAAAAATGGGGAAAAAATGGGAAAAATCAGAGGACAGTGGGAATAAAAACCTGAGAAAATTGAGAGAAAAATGGAGAAAATCAGGGAAAATGAGTAGGAAAAATGAGGAAATCAGGGAAAAATTGGGAAAAATAATTGAAATAAAGGGGGGAAATGAGGGGAAATTGGGAAAATTGGGGGAAATTAGCGAAAAATTGGGGGAAAGTGGGGAAAATGTGGGGAAAATGTTAAAAATCAAAGGGAAATGGGGAAAAGTGGGAAATGGTGAAAATTCAGAGGGAAAATCAGGGAAAATTGGGGGAAATTAGGGAAAAATTGGGAAAAAGGGGGAAATGTGGGGAAAAAATGGGGAAAACTGGGGAAAATGGGTAAAGACGGAAAAATTGGGAAAATGTGGGGGGGGAAATTGGGGAAAAATTGGGGCAAAATGGGGAAAAATTGGAAAAGATGGGAAAAGAGGGGAAAAGTTGGGAAAAAAGAGGGAAAATCAGGAAAATGGGGAAAAAATTGGGAAAAGATTGGGAATAAAGGAGGGAAATGAGGGGAAATTGGGAAAATTGGGGGAAATTAGCAAAAAATTGGGGAAAATTGGGAAAAGTGGGAAAAATGCAGAAAACTGGGGGAAAACGTGGAAAATCAAAGGGAAATGGGAAAAAGTGGGACATGGTGAAAATCAGAGGGAAAAACAGGGAAAATTGGGGAAAATGGGGGGAAATAAGGAAAAATTTGGAATAAATGGTGAAAATTGGAAAAAAAGGGGAAAATGTGGGGAAAAGTTGGGAAAATCGGGTGAAATGGGGAAAATGGGAAGAAAATAAAAAATTGGGAAAATGTGGGGGGGAAATGGAAAAAATTGGGGAAAAAATGTGGAAAAACAGGAAAAAACAGGAAAATTGGGGAAAAGGTGGGAAAAATCAAGGGAAAATGGGGAAAATCAGGGAAAAATTGGAAAAGATGGGAAAAAAGGGGAAAACTTGGGAAGAAAGGGGGAAAATCGGGGGAAATGGGGAAAAATCGGGAAAAGATTGGGAATAAAGGGGGGAAATGAGGGGAAATTGGGAAAACTGGGAGAAATTAGCGAAAAATTTGGGAAAATTGGGAAAAGTCAGGAAAAATAGGGAAAAATGGGAAAAATGCAGAAAACTGGGGGAAAACGTGGAAAATCAAAGGGAAATGGGAAAAAGTGGGGAAAATCAGGGAAAATTGGGGAAAAAATAGGGGGAATAAGGAAAAATTGGGAAAAATGGTGGAAATAGGAAAAAAAAGAGGAAAATGTGGTGGAAAAATGGGAAAAATTGGGGAAAATTTGGGGAAAATGGGGAAAAACAGGGAAAAAATGGGAAAATTGGGGAAAAGGTGGGAAAAATTAAGGGAAAATGGGGGAAATCAGGGAAAAATTGGAAAAGATGGGAAAAGAGGAGAAAAGTTGGGAAAAAAAGGGGAAAATTGGGAATATGGGGAAAAATTTGGAGTAAAGGGGGAAAATGGGAAGGAAGTGGGAAAAGTTGGGAAAATTTGGGAAAAGCAGGAGCGGGGTCTGACCTTCTCTTGCTGGGCAGGAAAATCGGGAACAGCCCGGCCGGACACCGAGAGCCTGGAAAAAAGGGAAAAGTGGGAAAAATGGGTAAATCCTGGGAAAATTCGGAAAAATCCTGGAAAAATTGGGAAAAATGGGAAAAACCTGGGGAAATTGGGAAAAATTGGGAAAATCCCAAGGGAAACCGGGGAAAATCTGTGGAAAAACCTGGAAAAATTGGGAAAACCCAGGAAATCTGGGAAAAATGGGGGGAAATGGGAAAAAAGTCAGGGAAAAAAAAAAACAAACCTTGGGAAAATCCAGGAAAATTCTGGAAAAAAAAACGGGAAAAAGAAAACTGGAAAAATCCAGGAAAATCCTGGAAAAATGGAGGAAAACCTGGGGAAATGCCAGGAAAAATCAGGAAAATTCAGGAAAAATCCTGGAAAACCCAGGAAATCTGGGAAAAACATGGAAAAATCAAGCAAATCTGGGAAAATCCAGGAAAAACCTGGAAAAATTGGGAAAAAACAAGGGAAAAAATGAAGGAAACCTGGGAAAATTCCAGGAAATTCCCGGAATTTCCGGGGTTTCCCATCTCACCTGAGTCCTGCGGCGGGGCCGGGGATTTCTGGGAATTCTGGGAATTTTGGGCATCTGCGACAGCTCCAGGGGAGTCCTGGGGAAAAAAATTGGGAATTTTGGGAATTCTGGGATGTGGAAATGCAGGAAAATCCCAGATCCCACCTGGAATTCCGGGATCTGGAGGGGATTTATGGAATTCGGGGAGGGAAAAGGAAAAATTCCCAAAATTCCCATATGAATTCCCAAAAATTCCCATAGGAATTCCCCAAAATCCTCCAGAATTCCCAGAAAATTCCCCAAAATTCCCAAGGAAATTCCCCAAAATCCCCCCAAATTCCATCCAGAATTCCCAAAAAACTCTCAAGGAGATCCCCCAAAATTCCTAGAAATCCCCAGAAACTCCCAGGAATTTCCTGGAGTTTTCCCTGAAATTCCTGGGAATTGCTCAAAATTCCCTGAAATCCCAAAGAAATTCCTGAAATTCCCCAAAATTTCTGGGAATTCCAAGAAATCCCCAAAATCCCAGAAAATCCCAAAAGAATCCCAAAGAAATTCCTCAAAATTCTCAGAAAATCCCCAGAAATTCCCAAAAACTCTCAAGGAAATCCCTCAAAATTCCCAAGCAAATTCCTGAAAAATTCCCAGAAATCCCCCTAATTCCCCAAAAATTCCCAGAATTCCCCAAAATCCCCCAAAATTCCAAGGAAATTTCCAAGAATCCCAAAAAAATCCCAGAAATTTCCAGGAATTTCCCTGAAATTCCCCAAAATTTCATGGAAATCCCCCAAAATATTAAAAAAAAAAAATTCCCAAGGAAATTCCCAAAAATCCGCTGAAATTCCCAGAAATCCCAAGAAATGTTCCACAATTCCATGGAAAATCCCAGAAATCAGCAAAATCCCCAAGGAAATTCCCAGAAATCCCAAGGAAATCCCCCAAAATTCCCAGAAAATAAAAGTTCCCAAGGAAATTCTGAGAAAATTCTCAGAAAAATCCCAAGGAAATTCCCAGAATTCCCCAAAATTCCCAGAAAAACCCCCAAAATTCCCAAAAAACTCCCGGAATTTTCCGGGCTGTGCCTCACCTGGGTCCGGGGCTGGTTCCGCTTTTCCGGTTCCGTTTTCCCGGGAATTTCCCCTTCCCGGTTTTCCTTGCCCGCCTCTCCCGGGGGCGTTTCCCGGGATTTTCCGGGATTTTTCCGGGAATTCCTGCGGCTCCGGAAGAAGGCGGCGCCCGAGGGCAGCCGAGGCCGCGGCCGCGCCCCCGACAGCAGCACCCGGCGCTCGGAATTCCCGGAATTCCCGGAAATCTGGGAATTCCTCAGCCCGGAAATCCGGGAATTCCCAGCGTCGGAAATTAGGGAATTCTCAATCTCAGAATTCTGGGAATTCTCAGCATTGGAAATCTGTGAATTCTCCATCATGGAATTCTGAGAAATCCGGGAATTCCCAACATTCCCGGTGCCGGAAATCCGGGAATTCTCAGCGCTGGAAATTCCGGAATTCTGTGAATTCTCAGTCTTGGAAATGTGACAATTCTCCAGCCTGGAATTCCCGGAATTCCCGGAAATCTGGGAATTCTCAGCAGCGGAAATCTGGGATTTCCCCAAATTCCCAGTGCCGGAAATCCGGGAATTCTCAATCCCAGAATTCTCAGTGCCAGAAATTTGGGAATTCTGGGAATCCCCAAAACTGGAAATGTGGGAATTCTTCGCCCCGGAATTCCGGGATTTTTCGGCGTTGCAAATCTGGGAATTCTCCAGCCCCGAACGTCCCAGGCTGGAATTTTGGGAATTCTCGATCCCGGAATTCTGGGAATTCCCAATTCCAGCACTGGAAATCTGGGAATTCTCAATCCCAGAAATCCGGGAATTCTCTCCAATCCCGGAATTCCGAGAGTTCTCAACATTGGAAATTTGGGAATTCCCCAGCCTGGAATTCTGGGAATTCCCAATTCCAGCACTGGAAATCTGGGAATTCTCAATCCCAGAAATCCGGGAATTCTCTCCAATCCCGGAATTCCGAGAGTTCTCAACATTGGAAATTTGGGAATTCCCCAGCCTGGAATTCTGGGAATTCCCAATCCCAGAATTCTGGGAATTCTTCATCCTGGAATTGTGGGAATTCCCAATTCCAGAAATCTGGGAATTCCCCATCCTGGAATTCCGGGAATTCCCGCTGCTCCCTTTGCCTTTGGAGCTGCCCTTCCTGGCAGAATTCCCGGATTTCCTGTTGGAATTCCCGGATTTCCTGTTGGAATTCCCAAATTTCCTGTCGGAATTCCCGGAATTCCAGGTTTTTTCCGGGATCTCTCCGTGGCCCAGCAGCTCCCGGAGCCGTTTCCGCTCCAGGGGGTCCCGGTAATTCCGGCTCCCGTAAAACTGAGCCACGGAAAGTTGGGAACGCGCCGGAATTCCCGGATTTCCCGAGAGAATTCCCGGATTTCCCGATGCCATTCCTGCATTTCCAGCCAGGAGTCCCGAATTTTCCGTTGGAATTCCTGAATTTCCCGTCGGAATTCCTGAATTTCTTTCCGGAATTTCCGAATTTCTGGCTGGAATTCCCAAATTTCCCGTCAGAATTCCTGAATTTCCCGTCGGAATTCCCGGATTTCCGGCGGGGATCTGCAGCCTCCGGGCCGGCGCCGCTCTCTCCACGATTTCCTGGGAATTTTGGGAATTTTTTGGGGAATTTTCTGGAGCTGCTCGGAGCCGTTTGGGCGGGGGGGTCCGGAATTCCCAGCGGGAGCTGAAAAAAAAATGGGAATGAGGGAGGGGGGAGGGTCGGGAATTCCCAAATCCCTAAATTCCCAAATCCCTGGAATTCCAAAATTCAGGAATTCCCAAATCCCAAAATTCCTGGAATTCCCAAATCCCGGGATTTGTGATTCCAAGGAGTTCCTGAATCCAAGGATTTCCAAATCCAGGAATTCCCAAATCCCCAAAATTCAGGAATTCCCAAGTCACAAAATTCCCAGACCCTGGAATTCCCAAATCCAGGAATTCCCAAATCCCCAAAATTCCCAAATCCAGAAATTCCCAAATCCAGGAATTCCCAAAACCCAAATCCCAAAATTCCCAAATCCAGAAATTCCCAAATCCAGGAATTCCCAAAACCCAAATCCCAAAATTCCCAAATCCAGGGCTTTGGCATTTTTGGGATTTGGGAATTTTGAGCTTTTATGGGAATTTTAGGGAATTTTTGGGATTTTTGTGGTTGGGCTTTTGGGGATAATTTGGGGTTTTGGGGGATTTTTGGGTTTAGGATTTGGGGTTTTGGGAATTCGGGGGGGTTTTTTTGGGATTTCGAGATTTGGGATTTTGGGAGATTTTTGGGGTTTGTGATTTTGGAATTTGGAGGTTTTGGGGTTTTGGAATTCGGGGATTTGGGATTTTCTGGGATTTGGAGTTTGGGATTTCGGGGATTTGAGATTTCGGAGACTTTGGGGGTTTGGGATTTTGGGATTTTTGGGGATTTTGGGGTTTGGGATTTGAGAGATTTTTGGGGGATTTTTGGAGGATTTTGGGGTTTGGGGGATTTTTGGGATTTAAGGGATTTTTGGTGGGATTTTAGGGGGGTTTTGGGGGAATTTTTGGGGGGTTTTGGGTCTTTGGGAGGGTTTAGGGGGATTTTTAGGGGATTTTGGGGATTTCTGGGGTTTGGGATTTTTGAATTTAGGGATTTTTAGGGGATGTTTGGGGTTTGGGGGGATTTTTGGGGGATTTTGGGGGGGTTTTGGGGATTTGTGGGGGTTTAGGGGGGATTTTTAGGGGATTTTGGGGGTTTGGGATCTGGGGGATTTTTGGGGTTTGGGATTTTGGAATTTAGGGGATTTTTGGGGAATATTTGGGGTTTGGGGGGATTTAGGGATTTTTGGGGTTTGGGATTTTGGGGATTAAGGGGGGATTTTTGGGATTTGGGGGATTTTTGGGGGGTTTTGGGGATTTGGGGGGTTTAGGGGGGATTTTTAGGGGATTTTGGGGATTTCTGGGGTTTGGGATTTTGGAATTTAGGGGATTTTTGGGGAATATTTGGGGTTTTTGGGGATTTAGGGGATTTTGGGGTTTGGGGTTTTTTTGAGGTTTAGGGGATTTTGGGGAGGGTTTGGGGGGATTTTTGGGGGATTTTTGGGGGTTTTGGGGGGTTTAGGGGGGATTTTTAGGGGATTTTAGAGGTTTGGGATCTGGGGGATTTTTGGGGTTTGGGATTTTGGAATTTAGGGGATTTTTTGGGGATATTTGGGTTTTTTGGGGATTTGGGGGTTTGGGATTTGGGGATTTTTGGTGGATTTTGTGGTTTTGGGGTTTTTTGAGGTTTAGGGGATTTTGGGGGGGGGTTGGGGGTTTGGGATTTTGGGGATTTGGGGGTGATTTTTAGGGGATTTTGGGGATTTCTGGGGTTTGGGATTTTGGAATTTAGCGGATTTTTAGGGGATGTTTGGGGTTTGGGGGGATTTTTGGGGGATTTTGGGGGGATTTTTGGGGTTTCAGGCTCACCCGGGCGGGTCCCGGCTCCGTTTCGAGGCGGTTCCGGAGCTGCTGCGGATCCGGGAGAGGCTGAGCAGGGCCGGAATTCCGGGAACCCGAACCCCAAATCCCCAAATCCCCAAAATCCCAAACCCCCAAATTCCCAAATCCCCAAAACCCCAAATTCCCAAATCCCCAAACCCCCAAAATCCCAAAACACCCCAAATCCCAAAACACCAGACTCCCAAATCCCAAATCCCCAAAAATCCCGAACACCCAAACCCCCCAAAATCTCAAATCCCCAAAATCCCAACCCCCAAAACTTCAAATCCCAAACCCCCCAAAACCTAAAATCTCCCAAATTTCCCAAAATTTCCCAAAATCCCAAATTCCAAAAATCCCCAAAACCCCAAAACCCAAATCCCCAAACACCAAAACCCCAAATCCCAAATATCAAACCCCAAAACTCCCAACATCCCAATTTCCCAAACTCCCAATTCCCAAATTCCCATATTCCAAAACCCCAAAACCCAAACCCCCCAAAAATCTCCCAAATTCCCAAAACCCCCAAATCCCCCAAACCCAAAAATCTCAAATCCTCCAAACGCAAAACCCCCAAATCTCCCAAAATCCCAAATCCTCAAATCCCAAAAACCCCAAAACCCTTTTGGGGCTTTTTGGGGCACCCCCAGATCTTTGGGGTTGGGAAATCTGGGGGGTCCCAAATCCCCCCCCCCCCAAAAAACCCCAAATCCCCCAAAATCCCAAATCCCGGCCCGGAGCTCCTCGGAGCTCCTGAGAAGCGCCTCGGAGCTCCATCAGAGCCTCTTGGAGCTCCAAGAGAGCCTCCTCAGCCCGCTCGGAGCTCCATCAGAGCCTCTTGGAGCTCCATCAGAGCCTACTCAGCCCCCTCGGAGCTCCATCAGAGCCTCCTCAGTCCCCTCAGAGCTCCATCAGAGCCTCCTCAGTCCCCTCGGAGCTCCGTCAGAGCCCCCTCGGAGCAACTTGGAGTTCCGGAGAGCCCCCTCGGAGCTCCATCAGAGACCACTTAGAGCTCCCTCACAGCCCCCACAGAAATCCCTCAAAGCCCCCTCGGAGCTCCTCACAGGCCCTTCACAACCCCCTCAGAGCTCCACAAAGCCCCCTCGGAGCCCCAAATCCCCGCCCGGAGCTCCCTCAGAGCTCCTTGAAACTCCTCAGAGCGTCCGAGGAGCTCCCGCGGAGCCCCCCAGAGAGCCCCCTTGGAGCTCCCCCAGAGCCCCTTTGGAGCTCCATCAGAGCTCCCCCAGAGGCTCCTCAGAGCTCCTTCGGACCTTCCTCCTCAGAGCTCCCCCAGAGCTCCATCAGAGCCCGCTCAGAGCTCCACCAGAGCCCCCTCAGAGCTTCCTCCTCAGAGCCCCTCAGAGCTTCCCCAGAGCCCCCCCAGAGCTCCCTCGGAGCTCTATCACAGATCCCGGAGGCCCCTCGGAGCTCCCTGGAACTCCTCAGAGTCCCCTCGGAGCTTTCTCAGGTCTGTCTCGAAGCTCCCTCACAGATCCCTTAGAGCCCCTCAGAGTTCTCTCGAAGCCTCCTCAGATCTCCCCCGGAGCTCCGTCAGAGCTGCGTGAAAGTTCCCCCAGAGCCTCCTTAGAGTTCCCTGCTCCCCCAGAGCTCCAGCAGAGCCCCTCTGATCTCCCTCACAGTCTCCTCCTCAGAGCCCCCCGGAGCTCCCCCAGAGCTCCTACGGAGCCTCTTCACAGCCCCCTCAGAGATCCCCCAGAGCCCCCTCACAGCCACCTCAGAGTCCCCTCGGAGCTCCACTGGAGCCCCCTCACAGCCCCCTCAGAGTCCTCTCGGAGCCTCCTCAGATCTCCCTCGGAGCTCCGTCAGAGCTGCGTGAAAGTTCCCTCAGAGTCTCCTCAGAGTCCCCAGCTCCCCCAGAGCTCCATCAGAGCCCCTCTGATCTCCCTCAGAGTCTCCTCCTCAGAGCCCCTCGGAGCTCCATCAGAGCTCCTACGGAGCCTCTTCACAGCCCCCTCAGAGATCCCCCAGAGCCCCCTCGGAGCTCCATCAGAGCCCCTCAGAGAAACCCCCAAGAGCTCCCCTCAGAGCCCCTCGGAGCTCCCCCAGAGCTCCAGCAGAGCTCCTACGGAGCCTCTTCACAGCCCCCTCAGAGATCCCCCAGAGCCCCCTCGGAGCTCCACTGGAGCCCCCTCACAGCCACCTCAGAGCCCCCTCGGAGCTCCATCAGAGCCCCTCAGAGCTCCTACGGAGCCTCTTCACAGCCCCCTCAGAGATCCCCCAGAGCCCCCTCAGAGCCCCCTCGGAGCTCCATCAGAGCCCCTCAGAGCTCCCCCTCAGAGCTCCCCTCAGAGCCCCCTCGGAGCTCCATCAGAGCCCCTCAGAGATCCCCCAGAGCCGCCTCAAAGTTCCCTCGGAGCTCCACTGGAGCCTCCTCGCAGCCCCCTCAGAGAGTCCCCTCGGAGCTCCCCCAGACCCCCCTTGGAGGTCAATCAGGGCCCCCTCAGAGCTCCATTAGAGCCGCATCGGAGCCCCCTCGCAGCGCCTCATTTCCCCTCCTTTCCCCTCATTCCCCGCTCGCCGCCGCTCCCTCACCTCAGCGCCGCCTCCGCCATGGCCGCTTCCCGCCTTCGGCCGCGCGCCTTCGAACCGCCCGCCCTGCGCTCCCATTGGCTGAGCGCCACGTCAATCATCAAAACTCACTCGCCATTGGTCAAACAGCGCGCGGCTCCTCGTTGGACCCGCCCCTGAAGCTTTGCAGCCAATCAGAGAGCGCGGCTTGCCGCGCGGGCCCGCCGTGGGACTACAACTCCCAGCGTGCCGTGCGAGCGCAGAGCGGCGCTTCCGGGCTTTGCGGCGCGCGGGGGCTGACGGGAGTTGTAGTTGCGGGCGCGGGAGGCTCTGAGGGACGGGAGGGAGCTGGGAGGGGTCGGGAATTAATGGGAATGAACGAGGCGCTAATTAAGGGTTCCGTTGTTAATTATTAGGGCGGGGGGAGCTGCTGAGGGTGGGACTCCCTTCCCCTGGCCCGCCCTGAGCAACCCCCAATGGCCAGCCAGGGAAAAAGGTGAAAAAATGGGAAAAAACCGGGAAAAAAGCGGCTCCTGAGCGGATCTTGGACATTTTATCCATGAAAAACCGCAATAAAATCCCATTTTATTCATTTAGTTGCTCTGCCATGGCCCAGCTGGGAGCGTTCGGCTCAATTCGGCCCCAGATCGTTCAATTCCCCCCGTTTGGGGAAAAAAAGGGGAAAATGGGGAAGAGGAAAAAGGGAAGGGGGGAGAGGAAAGGGAAGGGGTGAAAAAAGGGAAAAGGTGAGAGAAAGGAAAGGGAAAAGGGGAAGGGGGGAAAGGAAAGGAGGAAGAGGAAAGGGAAAAAGGAAAACAGAGGAAAGGGAAGAGAAAAAGGGGGAAAAGCGGAGAGGAAAAGGAAAGGGAAAAGGGGAGGCAGAGAAGGGAAGAGGGGAAAAGCCAAAGGGAGAAAAAAAAGAAAGAAAAATTAAAAAAACAGATAGCAACGTCCCCCCACGCAGTGCGCATGCGCGGTTCCATTTGCAGCGCGCTATCATGGCCGCTTCGCGCATGCGCACTGGAAATTCCGTACAGCATCATGGCCGCCTTCCTACATCACGGTTCCATTTGCCGTACAGTGTCATGGCCGCCATGCGCATGCGCAGTTTTATTTTCCCGTGTCGTGTCATGGCCGCTAAGCGCATGCGCACTGGGATTTCCGTACAGCGTCATGGCCGCCCTCAAAGATTATGGTAGTATTTTCCGTACAGCATCATGGCCGCTCTGCGCATGCGTAATGGCAGTTCCGTACAGCGTCATGGCCGCCCTCACGCGCGCAGCTCCTTCGCCCCACCGCGCCTCCGCCGCTCTGCGCAGGCGCGTTCCGTACTCGCCGCTGTGACGTAATCCCCGTTATCCCGGTAATCCCCGTTTTCCCGGTTATCCCGGTAATCCCCGTTATCCCGGTTATCCGCGCTCCCGCCATGCTCCCAGCGGCAGCGTGGGCACGCAGAGCAGCGGGCCCAGCTCCTCGTCCCGGTACCACCGTGCCGTCATTCCCAGCCGGATCAGCGGCACCAGCTGTGGCAGAATAATAAATGAGTAGGCCTTGATGAAGTTAGGAGTTAGTAGGTAACTAATAATTAATTGCTTGTCAGCACAATGTTTAATTAGCTGGGTTTATAATGAAGAATACACAAACTGATAAATTGCTTTTAGGAACATCAGACAATTGTGGCCTCCTCTGTTCTGAAACCAATTGAAGACAAGGAATGGGAGTTCTACCAAGAGTTCATTTGTGATATTTGCATTAAAAAGGTAGAAAGGTCACAATGACTTAATTTACTTCCTCATTTTGGGAGCCCTCCCCATGAAAGGGACACTGACCCATTTCAAGGGACAAACCTCACATGCTGAATGGCTTTTGGAGTGATTAGCATACAAAGTGGGGAATGGGATGTACCAAAATGATGAATATGCATTTGTATTTTGTGTATTCAATACTTGTATGGATAAAAAGACTCTGTAATCACCTGGAAGGTGCGGTGTGTATTTGGGAGTGACCCCACACACAATAAACACACACTTTCTAACTCTAAACTGTTAGAGAGTTTCTGTCCATCACAGTTGGATATCGATACTAGATCAATATCCATATTTTTTTTTAATAAATCAGGATCCTGGCCCCAGGAATTGTCACCTGTGCTGAGGAGAGCAAACAAAGGTGGGTTTGCACATCCCACCTTGCTGGGGTGTGACACCCAGGAGGGCTGGGGCAGCACAGCACTGGGATTGAAACGTAAACTTTAAGGCATTTAGAGATTTTAGAGGAGCTAAGATTTTAGTTAAAAATAAGCCTTACTAGAGTAATTAAAATAAGAATAATAAATGAGCAGGCCTTGATGAAGTTAGGAGTTAGTAGGTAACTAATAATTGATTGCTTGTCAGCACAAAGTTTAGTTAGCTGGGTTTATAATGAAGAATATAAACTGATAAATTGCTTTTAGGAACATAAGACAATTGTGGGCCTCCTCTGTTCTGAAACCAACTGAAGACAAGGAATGGGAGTTCTACCAAGAGTTCATTTGTCATATTGGCATTGAAAAGGTAGAAAGGTCTGAACGAGGAAGACTTCATTGACTTCCT